CTCGGACTGAGTGCCCCGGAGCTGTCTTCCTATCGGCTTCTCCACCGGCAGTCTGACGGATCCGCCGCCATTTCTCTGCTTCTTCATCTTCTGTTTCTGCCTCCATTTTTGAAGCTTTTTGCTGAAAACAGAGGCTGCAGACCAGAAAGTGCCCGCTAAATCTCTCACTGACGGTTTCTTCGCCGGCGAATCGAGATCTATGTGATCCTTCATCGGCTTCAAATCCTCTTGGCTCACTTTTTCTTCTTCCTCTTCATCAATCTCTTCTTCTTCCTCAACGATTTCATTGCTTCTCTCCTCGGTTACTTCGCTAGAATCGTTCACGATTCCGAAATCACCGCCATAGTCATTCTCCTCCTCCCCGCCACGGTGACCAATTTCGCTGTCGCTTTCGGCTTCTTCTTTCGTCTCGAGAACAGGCTCCCGCACGCTGGACTTCCTCGCCTTGACCTCAATCTCACCGCCGTGTGTTCCTCCTCCACTGCCGGCGCCGGAGGATGCGGCGGCCTCCATGGTGGGTGGGTTTCGTTGCTCGTCCTGGTTAAACATGTTCCACAGCGAGCTCCGAAGCCTGACGTCACAAGACCTACGCTGCGGCTCAAACACGCCGGAAAACCCCTCGTTCTTCGACGCCGAGAACGATTTGGTCCGCCGGAGCTCCGGGAAGAACCCGGGTCGGACCCGACCGTTCCCGTTGGAGGCGGCGGATGACTTGAAGATGGCCTTGAGCGCCGCTGCTGAGATGGCCGGTGGTTTCTTGGCGGCGGAGGAGGAAGACGAAGCGCCGGCATTGTTGCTCTGATCCAAGACGGCGAGGCGTTCGCAGAGACAGGAGGGGCAGAATCCGGTGAACCTCTCGTCGGGGTGACGGTTGCAAGAGGTGGAGGGGCGGTGCGGCTGCGGCGGGGCGACGGCGGCGGAAGAAGCTGGGTCTGCCGTGGGATTCATGACGATAAATGGTGGGTGAGACTCGCTCTCGCTCTGCTCATGGAGTTATCGTCACTGCCTTGCTGCTTGCAGAGAGAGGGAAACAGACACTGAGGTTACAGGAAAAAGTGTTAATGTCTGAAACCTTCGTCTGCTCCCAGCGGACATTGAATGAGAAAGGAGATTGAAGCGAACAGACCAAGAAAATCTAATAAAATTATAACTCCAAACATATAAAAATAAATAAATAAAGTGCCGGACTCGAATTTTTGGATTTTGGAGTGCCAACATAAAATCTTGATATTTTATATTATTTTTTATTTTCTTTCAGAAATTAACCATGCCGTAACATAATATCCGATTCTCTGTATTTAATTTTCTAGATCCAAATGGAACCTGATTAATTTATGCAAAAAGAAACTCATGAAAATATGAAGGATTGCTTGGTAAATATAAATTACCCCCCACAAATTCCAACTTCGTGATCAATCAACGGATTCAAGAGCCAGGAAATGACGATTTTGTCCCTACGTTTTAGGATTTTGTCTTTTACTATTTCATCACTATTTATTTATCGAGTCCGTTTTGCAAAAGTGGATTTCCCGGCTCAAGTCAAAGGCAATTTAGCTTAAAATCAAAATTTTCATGCTACTTTTTTTTTTTGGAAAAGCATGTTTCCGCTCAAATGTAAAATAAATCAGATAAAAAAAGCTGCTTATAATATTTTTTATATATACATACGATTCTTTTACGTAGTTTTGTTTGTTCTCTTTAAAAATATATAAATTAAAACTATCCAAGATTTGATAGTTATAACGGGTAAAAAATAGAATAAAACTTTTTTTTAATTTAGGTTCGAATCTTTACTTGAAAATAGACATTCACATTAATTTTCTCGATCTTATCACAAATCCGATAAATTTCTAGATGATAAAAAAAATAAAATGTCATATGAATAACACATTTTAATATATTAAATACAATATAATAAAATTTGAAAAAAATGTACAATGAAATTGTTAGTTAAAATATTTTCTTCGTCCGACAGCCAAAAAATACCTTAAAATGACAATATTTTTTCGGATAAAATTACCTGGCACATATATTTTTGCTAATAGCCCCCTTTTTTACTAACACACATAAAGAATAGAATTAGCGATGGTCAAATATCAAATACAAATCATATTACTTAATAAAATTAATACTTTTCTTGCAAAGTATGTTTGTATTTATTGAATATCAAAGTACGTTTGTATTTGTTGAATATTCTATTAAATTATCATTTTGTCATTGGGTAGTGTTAGTGTCCATCTTCACATCGAAGACATGTAATATACATTGGTGATTTTGAATAAATACTATATTTTTTATCACCCAAAATATAATATGCCATTTAAATATCATTCCAATTTAAATGTCTTGTCAATTTGAAAATAAGATCAATTTTTTATTTTTATTTTTTTAAGGAGAGGAATGTGGATTTTCAAAGATTCCACCCTCGGAGGCAAAAAAGCAGAAAAGCACTTCACGCCATCACTCCTCACTCGTTCTTTGGTCTCTCTCTCTCTCTCTCTCTCCTTTCGCTTTCCCTCTCTTCTTTTTCTTTGCTTTCTCTCTCTCCTTTTTTTTTTCTTTCTTTCTAATTTCCTATCAGATCTTTTTTTTAAAGAACTTGCTAGGGTTTCTTTTTGTTTTATTTTCCCATTTTTGGTAAAATAAAATAAATAATTCTATTATATTGATGTGTAGATTTTTGTTGATATTTTCCTTTTGGAATTATATTGCGTCCTAATGCGTACGATCTCTGATTGTCTCTTGCACGGGGAGAGAAGTGGAACGAACTCCACTCCACTCTTGTCTTGTCTTGTCTTGTCTCAAAACGCTGTCGTTTTCGTCGCCTATTCGTGATTATGGAAAATTATAATACATTGCGAAAACAAGAAACATATTTAACATATCGCAATTATAATAAATTGGATTTTTTTTTATAAAAAAAAATAGGTAAGTAGAATCTTCCAATGACCTCCCACGTATTCGTATTTTGCGAATATGTATTTATTGTCTAATGTCTTTTCGCCATTAAAGATTTCGTGTAGTAAATTATTAGATTGTAACGGTAATTATTGCACTTATCCCACTAACCTCACGCAATCAATGCCATTAATGTGGGGAGTTATGTTTTTATTCAACCTCCATTTTTTTTTTCTCTCTATTATGCTCATTAATAATATATGTATTTACTACTCTATATATATATAGTTACATCTGTCATCTACATTTTTCACAGATTTAACATTATCCCTTCATTGAATATGATTAACATTGTTTTCCTAATATGTTATTCCTTTGCATAAACAAACTTTACTTTTTCATTGCATAATTTTCAGTAATTTCATTGTAATTTTCTTGTTTGGAACAATTTTCTCTTCTTGTTTTCAAACAAATTATTTTACAATTTTTTTTTATAGATTTTCATTTAAAAAACATACGCCTTTACTAATCAATAATAATAAAATATCTTCTAAAAAACAAAATAATATTTTTTTCGGATAATATAACAATAGAAAACCATTTGTCTATGAGACAAATATTTTGCATATGGATTCAATATTATTTGGGATATAATTTTGACAGGTTGCACTTTTTTCATACACGTAGACGAATAAGATATTCTAAGGGTTGATCTACCGCAGGTCTAAAAATATCGAAAAAGTTGAAGGAAAACCATTAAATACAACAAATATATCAAATATAAAAGTATATTAACTTTGTGGACGATTAATGATGTAAATTAATACCATGATTAACTCTTTATGGGATGGAAATCATGAAGAAAAACATTGGCAACCCTTTAGATTCCACGAATTGCTTCCTGTCTCATAATGAGGTCTTGCAACAATAAATATATATATATATATACCAATATATATAGGATTAATTACGGCGTTGTAGTAAATACCAAATGGTAATCCAATAGGTTATCCCATACAAAAATTATCCTTTCGTTTCGTATAATAAAATGGTTAGAGAAGTGGAAAATCGGAAAGGACAGTGGGTTTGTTAGAAATATGACTAGCAGGCCAACCCCTATGAATATTAAATGTATTGCTTTCAGTTTGATCAATTATAATCCGATATGGTTATATTTCGGTTAGATTTTTTGGTACAGTTTGGTTATATTTCGGTTTGATCAATATTAACCTTATGTTAGTTTTTTTGTTTAATTTTTTTTTACCTTTATTGGCACTATTTTTAGCAGTAAAAACGCTTAGTTAAATAAATTTGTGTTTAGGTCGATTGTTTTTAATATTTGATTGGTATGCATTTCCAATCCGATTAGCTAAGTTTTAAAAGAATCAAAAGGTTATTTATTTTCGTACCGATTCATATATTATTATCATATATTCAAATCTGTCCAACCTTAGTTAAATAAATAGGATCTTATTTTGATGCATTGGATTTTGTATTTCATAGCGAATTTAATCAGTTCATACATCCGTACAAGTGAATCTACAACACTTTGGTTCGATCTGACAACTCAGAAAATAAAAGATCCAATTCACTGTTTATTGGCGAATTTTTTTTTAAAAATTTATTTTGCACGAAAACGAACATGCATCTGTAGACAAAAGGCAGAGAGAGAGAGAGAGAGAGAGAGAGAGAGAGAGAGAGAGAGAGTGATTACATGAGAGATCATGGGTCGGAAAAGGGCAATCAAACACGAGCCCTTTTGGCCCACACCATTCGACAACTCACAGAAATCAAAGGCTTTTTCTATTTCCGAATTTCAAAACTCCCTAAAACCCCCCCTTTTTTTAATAAGAAAAAACGGGCTATTTGGTTATTATAACATTTGATAATTTAGAATCATTTACAAGTTTCTCATAAATAAATGTCAAAAAACGTAGGCAATACCAATAGATGAATACAAAATTTTAAAAAAAAAATGCAATAATTTATATTTACACATGTGGAGTGAATGAATGAATCCCAATAAAGGAGGGAACTGATTTTTCTTTGAGCATGTTACTAAAGGCAGAAAAAAAGCACACATGGTGTGGACAAATTTCTATGCTTTGCTTTATTTAGCGAATTTTTGCCATTAGAAAACATATAATAAGGTTTATATTTTCATCATAATCGATTAGAAGTCAAATACTTTACCATATATGCAAACGATTTCGCTCATAAAAACTATATATATAGATATATACCCAATGTTTCCACCTCCTGAATAATTAATCCGATTTATGCAAAACTTTCACCGAATTTCATTAACAAAAAAAAAACTTTAATCGAATTTTGAATATATAGTTCGTAAATTTAACAAAGAGGATACGGTTAATTTTCATCTAATATATCATATAAGTTTTGATGTTTATTTTATAAATTTAACGAATTATGGATAAATGACATAAATAACAGACTCGATGTTTTACAAAATTGCAACAAAAATATAACTCATAGAATATCATATCACTCCAACTATTTTTTTTTAGAGCATAGTATAAAGGGCTAAATATGAATTTTGTTTTTTGTTTTTTTATAAATATAACGTTACGTACCATGAAAAGGTATTAATTCGTAAGCATGCCTTGAAATTTACAAAATGTAAAAGACAATAGACTGCGGCAGAGTTACATAGGCTCGGGACGCCATGAAAATCAGCAGCTACGGACACTGTTCTCTAAAGGCGAGATCTCAAAGGAGACAATTAAAGAAAATAGGACGTCTATATTTATTCCTTCTTCTTTTAATTTTTATGGTAGACAATAATAAATATCATAAAACAAAATTATTTAATTTATATGGAGAATAGAAAATATTTATTTGAAGGTTTCAGCATCCCGACTTGGGTTGTATAGGGTAACAATTAATAACATAAAAAAGAAAAATTATCCATATTTTGCATGCTAAAAGATTTAAATTAGAAATTCAAATTACTCAACGATAAAAACACTATTAAAATATTTATTTATTATATTTTATTCAATTAATCAACTATAACGATATATTATAAGTTTGTTTCTCTCATATGATAAAAAGAAATAAAATCGTAAGAACAATTAAGAATTAAAAAGATAACATTGAGATAATAATTTATGAAAACCAAGTAATGGTAAATTTCTAAATGTTACGATGAAATGTTTTAAAGAATAATAATAAACTATAATATTGAAAGAGCATAACTTCGTCGGATCACAGCAACGTCGAAGCGAAGAAAAAAATATTAGCCCACGCGCAGAATTTCTTAATAGATGGAAAACAGGGAAAATCCGCTGGACTATAGTCCAGCGAAATACCGCACGTGGCATCGACGCGCGACCTGAGCGCGTGGTGGTCTGATTGGATCATCTTTGAACCTTTTCACGAAAAAAGCCCAATTTGGTCTATATTACAGTAATACCACCCGAGATCTCTATTTCGTAGGCCCATTAACAGCCCATGTAATCAAACCATCGTGTATTGGACAAGGGCCCATTATAATTAATAAGATTTTTATTCCTTAAATCAATTCTGTCATTTTTTTTCCTTCGCCGTATCCGAGAAAAAAAATTATTCTTTATTTTTTCACCGTGATATTATATTTTTTACACTATTATTTTTATTATATTTTTTTCCTGTTATTTAAACTATTTAAAAACCATTTTAACTGATATAAGAATTTTCATACCAATTAATAATTTGCAAAGTTCCAAAGATACTCATTTTTTTGCTTGATTTTGTTATAATGATTTTCATTATATAACAATTTTCATTCTATTTTTGGGAAGGTCCTGAAAGGATATCGTTTAATACAAATTTGAAAAAAAAAAAACAAAAAGACACTTGTAGAATGAAATGATAATCGAGGCATGGAGGAGAAGGGGGAATGATTTTCACATTCATCTTATTATTGCCGTGTATATTTATTTGTTTGTTTGTTGACCAGAAGCAAGCTACATCCCAACCATTCATGACTGAACACCAATCCCCACCCCTTTCTGATTAGATTCCAAACAAGGGGAAACCCGAGCTCCTGATCGGAATTCACGAAGAATACCCAAAAAAACCGATCGGAAAATCCAATCGAAGCGTAGAAGATCTTATCCGGCGATGAATTTCAGAAGCTTGGAAGAGAGTTCTGGGGCTTCTACGTGACACAGCACTCGAACCCGTCGACCAGAAGGTGGCACTTCATGGGAACACTGATGAGCATCGTGGCGTTGGTCAGTTCGATATTGTTCAGTCGGTGGCTGTTGATAATGGTTCCCGTTTCTGGGTATGGATTCGCTTGGTACAGCCATTTCTTCGTCGAGGGGAACCTGCCGGCGAGTTTCGGACATCCGATTTGGTCTCTTCTGTGTGATCTGAAGATGTTTGGTCTGATGCTCACCGGAAGCATGGAGAGGGAGATGAAGAGGCTTGGCAAGAGGCCTCTCACGGCTACGAGGGCATAGTCGTCGATTCACTTGGTCTTTGGGTCGCGTTTGGCTTTGCGTTTAGATGGTTGTTGTCGTAGACTGTAGTGATGTACATGTGTGTAGGTATGGATTAAGGGGACCGATATTCATGAATAACAAACGCTTTTTATCCTGACGTTAGCGAAATATTTCATATAACTATCTAACAGGGTATTTTAGCTGACAGTGTTTATCGACATCGTAATTCAATCGAATCCTTTATAACCACAACAAAACATGTCATTATTTTGAACCAAAGAAGTATTATAAGCTTTGCATAAAATTCAAGAGGACGGTCAAAGAGGGAAAAGGGATCTTAGTACTACAAAGTACAAAGTCATTCACCGAATCTAAAACTGAAAGTGTTCATAGCATCATTAGATCCACAGAGAGAAGAAAAACCCAAGAATCTTGAGTTGATGGCAAAAAACTGGTCATGGAGCATGGTTCTCTTTTGGATAAAGCTCTTACGAGAATGCATTTGTATAATATACCGGGTTTTGTCAGCACTTGAGGAGGAGTACGGTCCGTGATTTCAGCTAAATCTGCTCCCTAAGACCCGAAAGAAGAATAACGACACAACACCCCACATGATCCCAGACGAGGAGCTGGCTTGGCTAGAGGAAGAAGAACCTGGTGGTAATCAATAACTAAATGATTATTAATTCAAGGGCCATCTCAGTCATTTTTTCTTACTTGAAGGAAAAAAAAAGAAAGAAAACGTACCGGAAATCGTTAGTCTGTGTTGCGGGAGAAGGAAGGGAGAGGCATCGATTCCTGGGGACGTAAGAGGACAAGAAGACCAAACATGCCGAGCATTGGGAGGACAAGCAGCCATTTCAGAAGCTTGTAATAGTGCATGTGGAATGTAAGAGAGAACTCGTCTGAGAAGTAGAACCCATTCTTGTCCACCATTTCCACCACCACCGTTCCTGTTGTCCTCACTCCAACCGTCGGCAGCTTTATTCTGTACTTTCCAGGTCGTTCATAGACTTGGCTCTGCTTTATCTTCCGCTCTCCCTGATAGTTTCCAGGAACCAACAGTGTTGTCTGCATCCATTTGCTTTTTTAGTTCAATTCCTTCGGTTTTAATGTATGCTGCTTTTATATTGAAATAGTTTCTGTCAAGGAATAATGAACTAAAAAGGCCAACAAACAGTTCCAACGTTTTCGAAGTGGAGGGAGGCTTATGAACTTACAGTTATGTTATAGGGGGCTTGTGAACCAGATGGATATCTGTACTTATCAACGATCTCAATCTCCACCCAGAAGTTTTTGCCTTCTTCATCCCGGAATCCTCTTGTTGAATGTGTGACAAAAACGCCTTCCCTCTCATAACGGTTTGCCTTATTATTCCTTCCCTGATCAGTTGATCGCCATGCCTGATCAAACATAAAGTGAAGTGTGAATCACCATCTCCTACCACAAACAGCTAGAAATCCAGAAGTACAAAATCATCCGGGTAATGTTCAGGGTCGGACATGCCTTGAGGGGATGGTGAGGAGAAGGGGTAGAGAAGCAAAAGACATTTCCATTCATTGTTGTGACAATAAGATCAAGATCGTCTCCGCCATCGACATTGTCAGCCAAGACCATGCTATAACTGTACCAAGAAAAATCCCTTCTCAACAATCTATATGGGAAAAGGGGATATGCCTAAAGTTTGAATGTGAAGCAGAGACCAAGAAACTTACGAAGTTTCACCGATATCAACAACATCAGCACATGAGGTGGGTCCATCTATGAGATACAAATAACCATCAAAGGATGTTGTAACAATCGTGAGTCCCTTCTTTTTCTCACCACGCTTGCTAAGATCAACCAGGAGAACTTGGTTCATCACTCTTCCGTGAGTTCTGTACGGATAGGGGCGGACAACAGAACCATCCTTGCCACTAAGAACATATATGTTTCCTGATGCTGTAGGAACTACGACATCTGTGTGGCCATCACCATCAACATCACCGATAGAGGGTCCCTGAAGAATGTGGTGATTGACATCAGGCACTGATCATCAAACGGGCAGAATTCACAGACAATTTTCCATATCAAAAGGATATTTGGTCTGAACCAATATATATGCCTAGACACCGTGAATAAATTTTGGTGAGGTGGAGACTACTAATAGTTGAGTAATTGACCGCCTTTTTTACCGTGTCACAACTAGTAAGTAGCTCATAGTGGCGTCTATGCAGGAACTTCAAAGCATTGAAAAACAGATCTATTGAAAAAATATATGTAATATCATAGGTGCTACAAAAAATACTGATGTATCAAGTTGATGCTCCTACAACCAACTTATTTATCCCACTGTTATTTGAGAATAAAAAATAATTGTAGTTTACCTGAGGAACAAGACTCTTTACATGTGCTTCCCAAATTTCTTCTCCCCGTGTGGTCCATGCAGCTACATTTCCATGTGAATCGGTGGTCACTAGTTCCAGCTTTCCATCATCATTTATATCAGCAGCAACAACTGCCCCTTGAATTTCTGCCATTTCAAGGGGGAATTTTTCTCTGACATTTCCTACAAAAAAGACAACGATTTAGAGATCAAATCACCATCCAGAAACGAAAGGAAACTGCTAGTTTCAGGCAGTTCTCGAAAGGAACTGTACATTCTGAAATAAGCCTTATTCTTGAACAAATGATTATTGAGTATAAGCACGAGCAGAGTATCAAGACAACCAGAAATCATATAATCCTGACAGTGAAACTGCTGTCTTACAAGTAAAGAGATTGGTAGAACAGTCGAACTTTAACAGAGACACCACAATTGCTGTAGGTTTCATGCATGCATTGTTTAAAGCTATAGTTTCAAAATCATGTAATACTAAGCCCAATAACAGACAGTTCTTTCAGAAGCAATGCTTAACGCCCTAGATGCATTAATATGCAGAATAGCCATTGAAGAAAATTGACCAAGACTATGGGAGGTAATATGAAGTCTTACCATGATGATCCATGACGTAGAACAAGCCAAATGAAGTTCCAACAAGAATATCCAAGTAACCGTCACCATCCAAATCAACAACCGTTGGGGAAGAATAAATATATGCACGGAAGTTCGACGAATCCGTAGTCAAATCGAGATCTTTGACCCACTTAACTTGCTTAGTATCAAGATTGAAAACAACAATCGAGCTGGCAATATACTTTGTGATATCAATACCACCAAGTTCTTTTAAATGATCTGGATTGTCATAATACCTGGCAATTTGCAAGGGACAAATCATGTCAGGGTCAGCTGAGCTACATACCACAACACAAATAAACCAAAAATGCCTATAGGAATAATCAAAAGGATAAAACTTAACGCTCTTTTAGCAGAAGGTAGTTACAAAACATGCTTTAGCATGCAGAGAATCAGACGATCTTCAGCGGTAAAGAGATGAAACAGGAGCTTACTCAGGATCGAAGAAATAGGAAACAGCAACAACCATCTCCTGTACTCCATCTTTATCAATATCCGCTATAACCTGATGAAAGGTGATACTGTTAGATCCACCATGAAAACAAGTAGTAGCCTGACAAAATGGTCTTTTACATAGATGAAACTCAAACTCACAGGAGTGCACAAGATGTGGGCATCAATATTCACGTAATCTTCTAATTTCTCGTGCTTCCCCTCAACCCATTCCTCATCTCCCCACATGGATTCATCAACATAATCATCATAGTCATAGCTGTATTCATCACCTAACTCATCATTGTCACGCAACAACTCAAACGACGAATCCGCATCAGCTTCTAACCCTCCATCATTTTCAACTGTGGCCATGCGAATACTCTCGTTGTTGTCTTTGTTGTCAGAGTGGTCATCCTTAGATTCTTGAGAGCCATTATCTTCCAGAAGTCGCCTCCCAGTCTTGGTTCCAGTCTCTGTTGTACTGTTTCCTGATGTCCCTATGTTCTCTGAGGAATTATCTGTTCCAGTATTTAATCTAATAACACTTTCCTTTTTGTCCTCGCTGCCCTTACCATGATCTTCCTGATTAGTTGTTGCATTTGCAAGACCATTGTGCATTTCCGAGACAGACGTAGTATCATTTGATGCCGGAGTATTAGTTCCCGTGGTTGCTGCACTTCCATTTCCATTGTGCATTTCTGCCGACAAGGTTGCAGTATCATTTGATGCCAGAGTATTTGTTCCAGTATTCGTGGAGGAATTAAGAACCTCTGCAGTAGACTGAGTAACAGTTTCTGTTTGGTTATTCTCGGGTTTCTTCTGATCCTCTTGAGATGATGCATTTGATGATCCATCATGAGGTTCAGTTGACGAATGAACTATTGCATCTGGCTTTTTTGTAGTTTCATTTGTTTCTAAAAAGAAGAGAAAAAACATAAGAATAAACCTTTCCAAGAAATGAAACAGCCTTTCTAGTCCCCGCTCTTCTTCTACACGGTATATACAGGTGATATCAGTTACCCAGGGATAGAAGGAAGCATGGACCATAGTACAAAAATCCTTCAACAGATTAGCAGAGAGGCAGCTGGTTCAAGCATAAATAAAAATTGGGTCCACCTTAAACAAAAATTGCACTACTAGACTTTTACAATTCAGTGCCAGATCTAGATTTTTGAGGACAGTGAATTCAACCTGATGGATATTGTGTAAAACAGCCAGAACTTAAAAAGCAAACATAAAAAAAGACTAGAAATAACACAAATTCTGCAGAAACTTACGAGTGGCTGATGACTTCATTGCAGCAGCCTCCAGTACAAGCTGCTCATCATGGACATCAGGATGTGACCGGTCAACAGGGTCGGGATCAAGACCCACATACCAGTTCTTGTGAACTTTTCTGCGAGGCACTTCAAGCTTATCTGACATCAAAAAACCCGATACCCTGGAAACAAGTGAATAGAGATGACTAACTCACACTGTTCTTCTCACTTCTAAGTCTCAAGGATAACAAAATGGAAGAATATGTAGGTATGTACAGTCTAAACAAGAATTACCTGAAAAAGAGTACTTCGCCATTGTAGGTAGCCAAAACAATTTCCCTGACACCATCTTTGTCAATATCATACAGGAGAGGGCTGGCATGCACATTAGATTGATGAAAAGCAGGCCAACCTAACAGACAATGAGGACACAAGAGAACACTCCAGATTTCAATATTCTACATCAATAACCGACCAAATTTGAAGCTATTTCATCGACATCATAAGACGTTTCAGACAAACTACAAGATAAGAGTCGACAGATGTCCCCTACCTGGCATCTTGTCTCCATCTGCCCCTTCGAGAACTTCGAGGTAGTGAACAAAAGATGGAACAACAATGTCCAGTTTTCCATCACTGAAGAAGCACAAAAAAATGTCACATATTCCACACGATTGTGATTATACGGTGCTAGCACCCATGATCCCTTGCACCACATCTATTTTCCACAAAGTAGATTGTGGAAAAGAAACAACTGCTGACGAATAACACATTCATACTGTTCGACATCAGAATGGTCACTTGCCTGTTGATATCAGCAATTAAGGGTGTAGCATAAATGCTAGAAGTGACTTCTGTTTGCCATCGCAGCTCCAGATTTCTCGGGCACTGAGTATTCAGCAAAGCATCTTCATCTCTGCACAATGAATACCCAAAGAGAAGTAAATTGGAGAACATAGACACAGATGCTCAATTCTAATACTTCAAAAGATTCGACAGTTAAAGGTCAGAAACCCCACGTCTTTTATAGTCAATGATAACGAACAAACAGGCCGAACAAAAACCCTAATCTGAAATGCGAGCAACTCGATTCGAATTGACGAGAATTTCAACATTCCGTCGAATATCCATAACTAGATACGGATCAAAGCTTACATTTCAGGGTAACCCAGTTCGTCGTCGGTCGCTCGACGCTCTCTGAACTTGTTCTTCCCAGAATTTTCTCCATAGGAGAGGTTCGAGAAGGTAACAAGAAGCAAACAGATCAGCAGACCACGACTCGCTCGAGATTTCATATGATCGCACTCCAGAGAGACTGAACAATTCTCCGTCTGCACAAAATCTATTCAAGAAAGGTTCAATTTTGGGGTGAGATTTGAAATAAAAAAAACCCCGTAGGGTTTTTGGGAAAATCGTACGAGGTTAAAACCAGAGAGAGAGACGGTGATGGAGAGAATCGCGTGACCAAAACTGATCAAGGGCAGATCGCAACAAGCCAAAACGAACGACGGCAGCGAAGCGCAAGTAAACTACTTGCCGTTTATAATTGGAGGATCGAAACGGCCGTTTGGTCTCGGCATATAAAACAACCCACATTTTATGTCTAAATAGGACAAACGACGCGCATGTCTTCGCCGCTGCGAAAGCTTGAACATTGAATTTACATCTGTCCGATTCTACAAACTTCCAAAATGATCAAATAAATATATAAAAACGCCCAACATCTAACAAATACATAGATTGAGAAAGTAGAAAAACACATGAACTTATGTATTTATAAATCTTTCTATCTGGTGCCACACATCAATCATTTTTAATTTGCATTATTTTTGTTTTTCATTTCACTAACATAATAATGGAAAAGATCCGAGACATAAAAAATCTAATAATAGACAAACAGAGAAGTGCTTTAAGAAGCATATTACAAAACTCACTGTAAAGGATGAAGTATTTCAGCGGTCATAGCAAAAAGGGCGAATGAGAGAGTGACACACTCAACAAAAGAGAATAGCAAAGGAAATACATATTGCCATGCCAAAGCTCTCAGGGCAAAAAAGATTGGAAATTCAAGAAATAAAAAGCACTACAATATTATTATTATTCACATGGAGGCTTAAATAATAATATAAAAAAAGAGAGAGAAAACCCAAGTTACAACACACTTGGTTCCTCTTTTTTTCTTAAAAAAATGGCTACTGTATTTTCCTGAAGAAGAAGAAGAAGAAGAAGAAGATAGAAAGAGTGATACTCTAATAGATTACAACATCCTAAGTAAGTACTCTATTGCTGGCTACAACTACTCTTTGCCCTTGACCCATTGCCCAAGAGAAATATAGCAAGTAACCCATCAAGGCCAACTGACACATATTGATTTTTAAAAAAAAGAAGACTCGTACCAGACGTTGGGAGGCGTTTCCTAAGTAATTTTGGCCAACTGACCGGATGTGTCTAATCTTAAGGCCGATTTACCTGGGAGAGCACATGATCACCTGCGCCGTGCAGCTTTGCTGTCCTTTTGAATGCGATCAGCATACATTGGCAAAAGAATGATCTCACGTATCTCCTGCAGCAACACCTCCTCCGTGATGTTGTCCCTTATGCTTCTCATCACCTATTCATTTTTTTTAATCCAAACTTCCAAAAATGTTACATATCATAGCCCCCATACATTGATTGGAGTATCATCTGATCTTCAAACAACAAGGCAAACCTGGAGAGGGACGGTATAGAATAGGGGGTGGTTATGAAAAGAAGCACTGACCTTCCTATATGTGTTGATATCGTTTGGAGTTGATTTGTCGGTTCTGATTCGCATGCAAACCCAGACCTGTTCTTCCTGATCCCACGAACACTCTATAATCTTCCCGGAGTAACTTGCAGGGTCGGAATCATCTGCTACCATACCATTTTCAACATTAGAAACTTTGTGACTTTCTACCGACTTTGTCTACAGCTTGCTTCAATTATTAATTTATTAAATGGATATTTAGTCATCCCAACCTTTAAAAACAACTGAATTCCCTTCCATAACCTTTTTCTTCCCTCTTTCATACAGAGAGAGCGTCTGACGGCCATCCTCATCCATCTCATACAGAAAGTCAACCGAGTTCATCTCGGGATACTTCCACTTCAAAAGACCTTCATGTGTACGGGGAACATAAGGGTCATCCCAGCCCTGCCAATAGAAAACCCGATGTCACCGGGATCATAGCTGAACAAGAGAGACTCTATATTTCCACAAAAACGTTCTGTCCAATGACTCCAATCCTAAAATCTACTATATGTATCCCTCTCTTTTTCAGGTTACCTGGAATATTAGGCCATCTGCTTCATGCGAAAGCTTTGGGATGAAACCCTTCAAGACTTTTTCAACAGCAGAAAGCAACCAAAAGTCCTTTCTCCGTACCTAAGCAACAAGAAATTAAAAATCAACAAAAGGAAGCCAGTCACCATGAACAAATATAGGAAGGAGAGAGGAAATGAAGAAAGATGTAGACAAATGATCTCAGAAAATGTAGCTCTTATCACATACCCTAAAAGGCTCCAGGTCATATCTGTAGCAATGACTTCGGACCTTTCCAAGTTTACGGGGTTCTACCACTTCTTTCTCCAACATCTTCCATCTTTCACAGAAAGGTCTCTGGTCCAATTTAAATCATAAAGCTCATCATTAACATCCAGTTTGGAAACCAAATTATAGCAATGACAAACATCACCCCTTGTAAAATCATGCAAAAAGATCAAGATTAGTTATGCAAGTAAATTTCAATGAAAAACCATGTTTTCCATCAATGCGAAGCAGCTCCATAGGGCAGAGCCCAAAATTCCAACTGTATGGTCATGCAATGCCCTAAACGAGCAGACAAATCCTTTTTATTCATCCTCAAGATACGTAATGCACCATGTATTAGACATACTAAATGGAGAAGACATCTCATAGGATAAATAGAACAGTAAACTCAACCTAATGCAACATAAACTTGGGAATAGTCTATTTGAGGAAAATGGAAGCTAAAGTCTTTTTAATGTACCTCAATAATATACTAAGACCTAGCTAGCTAAAGCATCCATTACAGAAACAAAATAGTAATGACAGTTCCAACCTCAATGACAGATTGTCCGTTGATTGCTACCATATCATAGATGAGGTACCTCCTCTCCTGCTTCTGGTTCTCTGGCACTGTATCTATAATCATCTCTCCGTCAAGCAATGTGTAATGGTGCACTTTTTCAGATACACCCTGGCAAACCAAAAACAAGAACGTTAAGATATTCACAAATTTAGTGAAGATATTGATACAAGCTACCTCTAGGAAGCCAAAACCAAAAACCACTTACTTCAGTTGGGTGTCTACAGGGAAACCGCATCTGGACCCTTCGAAATCTAAAGCTCCTATCTATTAAATAACATCCATCAACTGTTATTAGCATCACGTATCGTGTTCCATCTGCCTTCCACGTGGCATAATAGTAGCGCTGCCTCAGGAGTTGCAGGTTATCCCTGTTTTTTTTTTTAAAAAAAATCATACTTAAAACTTGATTCAGACTATTTTTATGTTTCAGCCACTAATGAAGCCTGTAAGAGTGGAATCAGAATGAAAATTCAATTTCTCAATGTAAGCACTACCAAAATAAAACAGAAAGCCAGACCTGTTTAAAGATACAGGGTGTGAACCTGGGAACTGTGAACATCCTCTTCCCTGGATTACACAGAATTAAAACCAGAAAGTCAATGCTTAACCCGCACTAATCACAATGATTATAGAAAAAGAGAAATAAAAAACTAAATTTGTATCCTCACTCATCACCATTGAGGAAAAAGCATCAGAAAAAGGAAAAATCTCACAGCAACTGAACCATTAAATAGACTCTTTCACATCATTCCAACACCTGATCTACTAGATAATCAATACACATTCTTACTTCAAGGTAATAAAATTTACTCTTGCATTTTCCTCAAGATAAAACATTCTATAAATTCAAGATATATACCAGAAAGCTAAATGGAAAGAAAACTTTTATGTATGAACAAAAAGCAACATAAAACCTGCACACGGATACAGTTGTTATGACAAACAAAAGAACTCAGCTGTTAATCTGTGCATCATTCTTATAAATTTATAGAGATCTATCATGATATAATGACACCCAGAATATAGAGATAGGAGATCAGAGTTTAACATTCCTACCCCAATATTCAGCATGAGCATCCTGTAACAGAATTGCCGGAAACCTTCCTCCTGAAAAGCAGGTATTTCATCACCCAAGATGTCGTCATTGGTCATCCTGACATCGACCTGATGGTTCTCCTGAAATAATAAAGCCAAACAAGAAAAACAAAGGCAATATATATAATAGTCCTACCAGAAAATTCAATGAACGAATTTTGTAGGCTAAGACTGAATACTCTCATTAATATGCACCAATGACTCAAGTCCAAAGAAATTCACCAGAAAGATAGAAAGAAGGCAAAATATTGGAAACCAAGCAGATCTACTAGATAATCAGTAAATGGTTGAACTATATAAAGAGCATACATAAACTTTAAAGTTGCATGGAGTTCATTGTCACAAAAATCACAGAATGTAAAATGACAAAACATTAACACTTTTTTTAGCATCATGCTTACATGCACAGGGGCGGCAGGACCATCATTGTCATCATCTGGCAATGCTTCACCATTAAGATCAAGCTCCGTAGATTTTTTCCACTCAGGGGTTGGTGGGCAAAGAGCATCCTCAGGTTTTATTTCGTGATAAAATGTGTATAAAGCATCAATATAATCTGGTTTATAGATTCCAGGAGGGCGGGCCTCAGTAAAAATTTGTAATGCCTGCCAAAGCCCAAAAAAAATGAAATTTGTAGCATGATGTAGATAACAAATTGCCCAAACAAACAGAAAAGTGCTAGACCACTGACCTGTGTAACGGTCATGGGCATGGAACGCATAAGATAATGAACTATCATGTAACCAGTCCGATTGTGCCCATGCGTACAGTGGACGAGAATGTGTTTTTTTGAGTTCTTTTGATTTAAGACAAATTGATTGACCTGAACACAATTTCCATGAGTCAGCTACTAACAGTAGAACAACGTCGTGCTTCCATAAGGACCAATAACAAAGTACTCCAAATTGCCATGTAACAAGTCCATCATCAAGTAAAGGAATTGAATCATGGAACCAGAGACAATTTATAATCTCAAAGATTCTGACTAAAAAAGGACAGATACCTCGTTGACAAAGGTGTTCACTGATACATTATCTGGCACAGAATCACGACCCTTGCATGCAATCTGCAAGACATCAAATTTTGACATAAACCACTTTGTACTGTCGCAGGAGATTTATAAAACGAAAAGATAACAGTATGCCTTCACTGACCTTAACATGCTTGATGCCTTCTTTCTTCAAGTCTGATGTAGGGTAGTAACGAGTTGTATTTGTCAGATCGATTACGAGACCAAGCTGAAAGAGAGAGTGAACTATAACAGTTACATCAATTAGATACAAAAGCCTAATAGTCAAATCCGATAAACTGTACAAAACCTCAACCAGAAAAGGAACTTTAAAAGATATCCGAGATTTACTTTTCTTCCATATATCCTCTGGTTATGGATCACTTGTTTAAAAGAGTATCTTCTCCCAGGAGGAACATCATCATTGTAAAATTCACTTAGGGGAACTTTCGAAGGAATGATGCATCCTATTTCGTCTCCAGAAGCAGGGCACTCTAGCCAACCTGTGATACTATACAGACTGTCAACGGGTAACATTTAAAACATTGACATCAAGGAAAAAAACCATACATACTAACTCTCGAGATTCTCAGCCACCTCTTTTCAAAGATTCTTTACAGTTGCAATCAAATATACTAATATAGGCAATAAGAAAAAATTTCTTCCATATAGTGAAGGAATATGACCTTGAGGGATCCTACTTTTGTCATAGGCTGATTTTTTATTCTGATAATGCTGATTATGCATAGTTGGCTGAGAAAAGGGCTTTGGGTTGTCGATTCTCATTCTTTTCCTTCTTTCATCTCGCTCCTGGAACAATAATATGAGTCAAATATAGAATTGAGCGCATATTGAAATCATAGGATATGATACCCAACAATATTATCCAAACTTATCCAATTTAAGGTGCTGGCATGATCATCCTACCGTCTGAAAGAACAAATGCCAGAAGGAATACAAATAACCCCGCCACAGAGCAAATTCTATATATAGGAGGAAGATCATCCCAAGCTTCGGGCACATTGGAGCAACATATTTTCACAATGCTCATGTATGGACCAGTTACTGTAGATGCCACATCAAGGAACAAATTCCCAAATTGTATGCTGACTATAATATAGTTAGTAATACTGGAAAACCGCCGTAATTGTGGTGGTTATAATTCATTAGATGACAGCATTCATGCTGAAGACAGAAAATTCGATCATACCCGCCTTGATACCTCGACTGAGGACTCAGTTTGTTCTTCTCGTGCCGTATATTCCTCTATATGCCTCTCAAACGGCACTTCATCTTCTTCAGGTTGGGGTGAAGCATTTAGGTCCATCGTAGCAACTATTCAAGGACCAAGGAACAGCATTTACATAACACCTGCTAGCTGCGCAACAAACAGATACCTTGGTCATGCCTGAACTCTGAAGGAACAAGAACAGTCAAATACTTAGAAGCTGCACGATGGCGCGCACAGACCAAGAAAAATAAATCGCAAATTCAATTCCTTCCTTGATATCACTAATCATAGGGAAACAAAACGGTTAATCAAACCCAGGGAAAACCAAAGCAAGAACAAGAGGTCTGCAACTCGCCGCTTCCCTTCTCCGACATATTCAGTAACAGAACAGAACAAAAACCCTAGAAGACGAAGAACCAACGAAATATCGACCGGAATTTCTGAATTCGCCGGTCCTCGAAATCTCCACGGGACCAATGAGGCATCGCGACGAAACGCATAAACTCAACGCATGAAATATCCAAGGAATCACGGAGAGACCATAGCCGGTCGGAGAAAAAGAAGGAGACCGGAGATTCTTGGAGACGAGGATGGAACCTGAAGCTCCGTTGACGAGAAAAGATCCGAAGGGAAAATCAACCCGACAAGAAGAAACGGGTCAGCTTCAGTTGGTTCAGTGAAATGGCAATCGGAACCCTAGGGAGAGGGAGAGCGCATGAGTGTACAACTGTTGGGCAAAGACGGGGGAAGGGCGGGGGGAACGTCTCGTAAATATATAGTGCTCAGATCAGGACAGGGGCTAGACCGGTAATATAAAAAAAATCCCAAAATAAAAAGAAAAAGCATAATATAATAATAATAATAATACCTTGATAGAGACTTAAAAAAATTTTAAAAAATATGAAAATGTGTGGGTAGAAAAGTAAAAAAAGTAGTTTTGCAGATGAAAATTCAACCGGAATAAAAAAAAACGTAAATTTTACGTTACCCGATTCTACACATGCTGTGGTAACTTTTCATGCTTGTATGGTTATTTTGCAGGACAAACGAGTGAGAAAAAAGTAAAGCTGCTTCCTTTCAAACGAGTCATCGATCCTTACACATGATTTGGGGGGAGACGACGAGAATTTTCTCAAACTGCCACAAAGTTATGCTCTGTTCTCTTCCAGTATCAGGGTGACGATGATGAATTGATGATGATGACCTTCCGTGCTGTTACGGCCGCTCTGATTCACCTGACCGCCGGCTGGAGCACCGAACAGCACAGCTGGCATTCCCGGGTTTCATGTCAGAGGAGGGTATGGACCCGGGAAATTAGGGTTCACCACCATTGGTGCTATTGGAGGATAGCCCATCAATGGTCCTTGGTCTGATCTACTTTCTGGCCTCGGCATTTCGTAGGGAGAGCTGTACAATGGTTGGCCACCTTCAGTTGGATAGAGAGGGAAACCAAACGGTTGGGGTAAAACCGGGTTCTGATTCATAGCCATGGGCAGAATGGGTGGTTGCATTGGCGAGTATTCTTGGAACTGGTTCCCCGGTAGAATCCCGGGATTGGGACTGCTCCTGGGATTGTTGGTGGGGCTTTACAGGACGCCAAAGCGTGGATTGAGAAGCTGAAAATTGCTTTGTGCTCTGAACATCTGACTCATTACCGTCTTCTTCTTTCTCTGCGTTGGGCTGTAAAAGGTCGCCATGAAAGTCATGGATATGAGATTTGAAATCCGGTTACTTGAGGAAGACTTGAGACAGTGAGTAGCTGCGCAGATGAATATACCATCCATCATCTTGATTGTCTGAATTTTTGGGATGCGTTCATCACCATAAATCCAGTTCATGATCCTGCCACCACCATAAATCTTGGAATGATTCAAAACACTGAAAGACCTATGCAAATAACTTCACACTAGCAATGGAACGCAGCCCACATCATCCAAGATTACATCAATCTTACTTCAAGCCAATGTTGGCAAGATCCCAATTCGAAAAAAGACACTCCTCTTCAAACCGGCTTCATAAGGCTCTTACTAAAACCTACAGTCTGAAATACTAGCAAGATTTTAACTGCACTACCACACAATCAAATGGACTCCTTAAAGATAACAAGTCCTATCACTATGATTGCACAAACATACGGCCAAACAAACTAATTTCAGAGCATAGTTAGATCAAATCAGTCCTTACAGATAGCTAATGGAATCACAACGAATGGACTCTGCAGAAACAACACAAAAAATCCAAACAAGGGAAGAAAAAGAACAGAAAAGCCATCCTGTCTTAACCAATACAACATCATCAAAAGCCACAATGTGGATGGAGTTGCTTACCAGGCGACCATAGACGGCGATGAGAAAATCGCAACGGACGCAGAAGTGAACTCGTTCCCCGATCGACGGCGACCGACAGGCATGGTTACGGTAGTAGGTGTCACTAAACCGAGCCCTTCGGCGACAGGATGAAATGGTCGAGAAAGGCAACCGTCACCGTCTCCGCCGGCGAAGGCCTAGCTCCGCCGTCGTACCCCTCCTCGGCAGAATTTGAAGCATTTTCGCTTCAACGGATAAAAAAAAGGGAATAACTTGGTGATAATAGATTGATTACAGAGAAACCCTAATGAACAGAACGAAAAAGAGGGGCGAAAAAGCCAAAAAAATGGCAATTTTCTAGGTGAAAATAAAATCAAGAATAGAACCAAGAAGAGGTAGAAACACGAGGGGGGGGGGGGGGGACTTGGTGATAATAGATTGATTACAGAGAAACCCTAATGAACAGAACGAAAAAGAGGGGCGAAAAAGCCAAAAAAATGGCAATTTTCTAGGTGAAAATAAAATCAAGAATAGAACCAAGAAGAGGTAGAAACACGAGGGGGGGGGGGAGGATTGAATTTTCTAATTTGCGTAGCGGCTCAAATACAACGGAACCCTCTGCGTGACTCAGAGGCAGCAGGATCTGAAGGAAGTGAAATGCGCAACATGCACACTCACTTGGAGAAACTTCAAGGATAACACCATATCGTAAGCCGAATGCTGGAATAATTAAGACCTTACAAATAACAAAATCAAACAGTCAACTACTAGAAAAACACGGTCAATGCCTTGCTTTACGTCCAGTATTCCGAAGACAGAGCAAAAGAGGCTGAAAATGCATTAACATGATATGGAAAGATGGAGAAAATGAAAACTGAAAAAAACACACACACTAAAGGGCAATCTCCAGAGAAGGTTAGCTTCTTCAAGGGCGGGAATTAAGGCTCGTCTTTAGGCCTCTTGAGAAGCAATTTGTGAAGAGCAGTGCTTAAGGCAAAGGGTGTCACCAAAGAAGCTCCCATCAAGCTTTTAATCTGTTCATTAGACGGTAAGGTTTGATGTGAATCAGCTGATTAATCGGAGGAAAAATGTTAAAGAAGTGCCACGAAAAATGAACCAAACCGGGAGTTACCTCGTTTCTACTGATGCTGAACACTTGCATCTCAACATCATCCAAGCGGATTTGCAGTTCCTTTAACAAGCAAACGGGTGAAGTTGAGAACCAAGGTTTGATGACCATGTCATCCGACAAGAAGAACCTTGTCTTTTCCTTCACCAACTTACAATTATCATCCACTGGATTCACCGGCACGAGTTTCTCAGAAGCATTTTCAAGACGCCTGCTGCAGTTTCGAGTGAAGCCATACCGCTTACTACGACTATATCCATTATTATAAGTATAACTATAGCGGTATAGCTTAGGTGTCTGAAAAGAGGCATCTGTCCATTCCACGGAGCTTAAATCTTTGAAGCTTCTGCACAAGTTACCGATGCATCCAAGAATGATACCGTCCCCAGCATTTTTCCAAATAGAAACCACAGTCATGCCAAGGAAAGTGAAAAGAAGATCAACAAAGTCATCTCCGCATTCAAAATACAGAAACTTGTTGTCCTGCTTTCTCACACAAACATTCAAAGTAATTGCTGGGTCAGATTCTGCTGCTTCGCCTCCATTTCCTAGCCCAACCGGGGCAGGCATTTGATACGTCTTTGTAACAACATGTGAACTTTGCTTTCGCAGAAATGCGTCCGTCAATGGGGTGTCTGAGGTGAATAAACACTCCAGCAAACTCATAACCTGTACTTTTTCAAAAACAGAGCAATCATCATATTAAAAAAGAAAACAAGATTTGGGATAGTGGCAAACATCAACATGAAAAGTCTAATAGAAAGGTAAATCACCTCTTTGTGACCAACATCAAGAAATTTTTCACCAAGCTTAGTAACATCTGCATAACCTAGACGTTTGAGTGTGTTAAGGAAAAGACCGGGGGAGTTAACAGCCACATTCAAATCGTCAGTGATTATGAATGAGGTATGGTTGCTGACATATACACTGCCTGCAACTCGATCATCTTCAGAAAATCTGACCTCACTGTTTATCAGCTGTCCGCAGCTACATTTCGAGGTAGCATAACTGTTGCTGTATAGTTTGCCGCACGATTCAACACTAAGAGACTGGCACACAAAGTACTTAGTAGCCCGAATATCCGTATCGTCGATGTTGATTTTAAGCCTTCTACATTGATCCTCCATCACGTTCTGCGGAAACAGCAGCCTGTCCATACAAGATTGGGTCCGAAAATAATGGAAGCCCAACTCTGAAACACTTCTGTAAAGGTTGTCCAGACAACCCACGACCAGCGTCTCAGATTTTTTACGCTTCTCAAGCAATCTCACAATGGTCCCCATTGGCAATATAAGAAAACTAAAGAGTACCTCAGCGAAATCCTTCTCAGCATCTGCCCAGACAACCTTGTTCTTCTCTTCATCGACCAGAAGTCTCAATCTCATCTTCTCCCCAGTACTTTCAACCATTGTAGGAGATCCAACGATTGCAAAATTCAAGAAAATTCAGAAAGCAGGCAACGCGGAAAGGAATCTGAAGCCATATATATTCAACGCTGCAGGTCCAGATTTCAGATATAGGTGCAATTCTGATAAATGAAAAAGCAATAATGGGTCTAACCGAAGAGCCACAAACGATTGAACTTCCCGTTGCGTTCACTACATCATTACGATATAACACATTGTACCAATCACAGTACAGGTGCGTACTATCGGGAAAATAGCCAAATAGAAATACCACTGGATTCTCACTCACGGAAAGCTCGTGCATGAATCTCCATTGAATTCAGCGGAATGAATCGGGTTGTGCGATGAATGCTTCTAGATCCAATTTGGGAATTCGATGAATCTCGACGACCGACAACTTCTCGGATTTCAAATCCCGACTCGAACTGAACGTAGGACTCTGGGAATTGGGTCGGCGACGCTGAAATAAACGGAAACCCCACGGAACAACAACACAACTGAAGAGGGATTGGGGCTTACAGTTGGAGACTCGGGAAGCTGAAAGCAGAAGCCATATTACATCCATGGCTGCAGAGGAACCACTTAAGCTTCTTTCTTTCGGATGGAGATTTGGCAGATCGATTCTCTCGTCGCCCAAAAATTCAAAAGGAGACTCTCAGTGCAATCAAAATGGCGGGAAAAAGAAGCTCGAACAGGGAAAATCCGAAAAGAGAAGAGAGAAACACCGGAAATTACACAAATAGGCCTCAATTCTCTGGTTATTATGAAAACGACCCCGTAAATCTCTAACGATCAATTAAGCCATTAGCCTCTCTCGTCGGCAGATTACTGTGATTAGTGCGGCGTTCAATCACACTACTGACACAAACAAACCGTCCATAGACTCCGGGAGAAAACCCACCAGAAAAATAACATTGGCTGCCGTTTTTAAATTGGTGCAACCACAATTGCAAATTAACTACTAATAACATTCACAAGCCAATTACTAAAAAAACACCAACAATAGAGCCATGCAACACGACCACAACTCCAAAGACAACGATGCAGTAGAAGATGAAGAGAATGGAACAAAAGCTTATGACATGAGCATGATAACCCAAAGATGGAAAAAAACATTCAAGAGCCATCTCCAGAAGAGAAACTTCGCTTCGATGGAGTCAAATAAGGTTCTTCTTTAGGCTTCTTCGGGAGCAATTTGCGAAGAGCAGTGCTCAAGGCGAAGGGTGTCACCAAAGAAGCTCCCACCAAGTTTATGATCTGTGCATTAGACAGCTGATTAATCTGAGAAAAATATGTTAAAGAAGTGCCAAGAAAAATGAACCAAATCAAGGGTTACCTCCTTTCTTCTGATGCTAATCACTTGCATCTCAACATCATCTAAGCGGACATGCAGCTCCTTTAGCAATGAAATGGGTGAAGTTGAGAACCAAGGTTTGATGACCATGTCATCTGACAAAAAGAACCTTGTCTTTTCCTTCACAAACTTACAATTATCATCCACCGGATTCACGGGCACAAGCTTCTCAGAAGCATTTTCAAGACGCCTGCTGCAGTTTCTAGTGAAGCCATACCGCTTACTATGACTATAGCTACTATGATAAGTATAACCATAGCGGTATAACTTAGGTGGCTGAAAAGAGGCATCTGTCCATTCCGTGGAGCTTAAATCTTTGAAACTTCTGCACAAGTTACCGATGCATCCAAGAATGATACCGTCCCCAGCATTTTTCCAAACAGAGACCACAGACATGCCAAGGAAAGTGAAAAGAAGATCAACAAAGTCATCTCCGCATTCAAAATACAGAAACTTGCTGTCCTGCTTTCTCACACAAACATTCAAAGTAATTGCTGGGTCAGGTTCTGCTGCTTCGCCTCCATTTCCTAGCCCAACCGGGGCAGGCATTTGATACGTCTTTGTAATAACATGTGAACTTTGCTTCCGCAGAAATGCGTCCGTCAATGGGGTGTCTGAGGTGAATAAACACTCCAGCAAACTCATAACCTAGACTTTTTCAAAAAACATTGCATCATATTAGAAACAAAACAAGATTTGTGATTGTGACAAACATCAACATGAAAAGTCTAATAGAAAGGAAAATCACCTCTTCGTGACCAACATCAAGAAACATTTCACCAAGCTTAGCAACATCAGCATAACCTAGACGTTTGAGAGAGTTAAGGAAAAGGCCGGGAGAGTTAACAGCCACAGTCATATCATCAGTGATAATGAATGAGGTATGGTTGCTGACGTATACACTGCCTGCAACTCGATCTTCTTCTGAAGATCTGACCTCTCTGTTCATCAGCCGTCCACAGCTACATTTCGAGGTAGCATAAATGTTGCTGTATAGTTTGCAGCACGATTCAACACTTTCAGAATTTGGGCACACAAAATACTTAGTAGCCCGATTATCAGTATCGTCGATGTTGATCTTAAGCCTTCTACATTGATCCTCCATCACGTTCTGTGGAAACAGCAGCCTATCCATACAACCTTGGGTCCGAAAATAATAGATGCCCATCTCTGAAACACTTCTGTAAAGGTTGTCCAAGCAACCTATGACCAGTGTCCCAGATTTTATACGCTTCTCTAGCAATCTCACAATTGTCCCCACTGGCAATACAAGAAAACTAAAGAGTACCTCGGCGAAATCCTTCTCAGCCTCTGCCCAGACAACCTTGTTCTTCTCTTCATCGACCAGAAGTCTCAATCTCATCTTTGCCTCCCCAGAACTTTCAACCATTGTAGGAGATTTAACGATTGCAAAATTCAAGAAAATTCAGAAAGCAGGCAACGCGGAAAGGAATCTGCAGCCATCAGCCATATAGATTCAAGGCAGCAGGTGCGGATTTCTGACAAATTAACAAGCAATAGTGGGTCAACCATAAAAACCGAATAGCCAAAAACGATCGAGCTTCCCCTTAACTACATCATTACAACGCAATACAATGCACAATAGCCGTAAATTATTATGCATGAACTACGGAGAAAAATAAGCAGATACAAATGCACATCGATATTCTTGAGAGTATATTGCAAGTCGTCAGAACTTTTCACTTACCTAAAGCTCATGCATGAAATTCCATTGAGCTCATAGGAGTGAGTAGGGTTTTGCGACGAGTGCTTCTACGTCTTAGTTTGGGAATTGATGAATTTCGCGACCAACATCTCCTCCTCGGATATCAAATCCCGAATCGAATTGGAAGTTGGAATCTTAGAATTTCGAATCGATGGAGCTGAAAGAAACGGAAGTCCCACGGAATACACAAGGGAAAAGGAAGTGGGGCTTACAGTAGGAGACTTGGGAAGGACAAAGCAGAAGCCAACTTACATCAATGGCTGCTGAGTAAACACTTACGCTTCTTCCTCTCGAATGGAGATTTGGTAGATTGATTCTGTCGCCGACCAAATAATACAGAGCAGATACCGAGACAAGAAAAATAGCCGGAAAAAAAATACAACAGCCCAAAAAGGAGAGATATCCATCTAAATTTACACTAATAGACCTATATTTTCTGATTGTTATGAAATGACCCCGTAGTTCTCTAATCTTGGCATTCAATCAAATGCAACAATGGATATTCGACTGTCTTGCATCTTTTTCGAAGTCAGATGCCATTAAAATCTCAGAAACTAACCTCTATCTAAAAGGGTTTATTTCTTCACTCGGAAACAATTCAAAGAATAATAACATTGCCACTAGAACACGAGACACCAAAACAAAAGCTTGACAGAGAAACGGACCTTAGAACCGAATGTAGATAACAAAAGACAGGTTACAGTGCATTTGCATGGAAAGTTTGATAAAATCCAAATGAATCTAAACGCCTCTCAGACAAATATCAAACCAAATGACAGATCAAGTCGAATCATGGAATAAAACCTTTCAAAGGAACTCAATTTTGTCAGCCAATTACAAGAAAACACGTCCACAACTCCAAAACAAAAGCTTATCAATCTGCGAGGAAAGATTGATAACAGAAACACCTCATTACTTCCGGTTCCTTCAGTTCTCTCCTTTTGATTTCGCCGCAAGTAAACTCCCAAGGCCAGTGGTCAAGGCAGCGGATGTCATCAAAGAAGCTCTCAGCGTACTGATAGCCTGCGTCAGGTATAGGCTCTCAACCATATGAACAGAAAGCATACAACAGATGCACAAAACGGCAATATGGGTGTGGGAGAACTAAATATACCTCGGCTTTGCTGATGCTAATCACATGATCATCAATCTCGTCAAGGTCCATCTCCAACTGTTTTATTAAGCAAATGGCTGAGGATGAGTTCATAGGGGAGATAGTGAGATCATCTGTGACTGTGAACCTACTCCCTCTTTTCAAAAACCCTCTACCGGGAACAGATGGAGCTCTTCCATCATATCTCGGATCAAAAAATGCCACGCGGATATAATGTGAGGGGTCAAGTCCTGCAATGTAACTATTCATCAACTGAAATTCACAAACATTACAATATATCACTGGCGGCTGCTGAATGGAAAGGCCAAGCAGCTGCGCCTGATGGCTATAATACCAAGAAGGCACACATTTGGAGACCGATGCATTTGGTCCTTCGTTCAAGCGCAAGCCCTTGAAGCTTTTGTACAAGTTACCGATGCATCCCAAAATGAGGTTGCTGCCAGATATTTCCCAAACAGACTCCAAAGGGACAACAAGAAATGTTAAAAGAAGATCAATGAAATCTTCTCCGCATTCTACATATAGAATCTTCTTGTCTTTCTTTCTAAAAAGAACATCCAAAGTTACTACTTGATCTGTTTCCGTTGCATCTGCGTTCTCTTGTCTACCCGGAGCCAACACATCATGCACTCTTGTTATACACTGGGAGCTTTGTTTCCTGAGGAACGTGTCAGTCAAGGGTGCATCAGAGGAGAATAAGCACTCCAACAAAGTTAGCACCTACATTTGAAGAAAAAACCACACCAAAAAAGAGCTGTTCATATTATGGCAATGTATTTACGAAACTTTACAAGAAAAATTTGCAAGAAGAGAAGCACCTCCATTGGACCAACATCAAGAAGAATTTCATCCAGCACATCAAAGCCAGTGTAACCTAGACCTTTTAGATCTTTCAGCATGAGAACCACAGAGCCAGAAACAACTTTCAAGTCATCTGTGATGAAGAATGAGGACTGATTGCTCACAGAAACTCCATCTAGAACATCTATCTCACCTAAATCATATGAATCATCTAAATCATCTAAATCATCTTCTTCCGGTAACTGAATCTCCTTGTCCATTAACTGACCACAGCTACATCTTAAGATATTGAGAATGCTGTAATACCTACGACAATAATCGCGATTTACACTCTCTCGGCACATAAAGTACCCGGTGACCTCAGTATCATGTACATTCAACTTAAGGCATTCATCCCTCAGAGGCCTCGGATACAGCAGCGACTGCTTACAAGCTTCATGCTGGAAGTTGTCAATGCCCATCTCCAGCACACTCTGGTAAAGGTTGTTGAAAGAGCCCACAACAACTCGCTGTGGCTTTTGATGCTTCTGCAGCAATCTGACAATGGTCCCCATTGGCAGTGCCATAAAACTAAAGAGTACATAGACAAAATCCTTACCAGCCTCAGCCAATACAACCTTATTTTTCTCTTCATCGACCAGAAGCCTCAGGCTAAACTTTGGTTCACCCGAATCTACAGCCATTGCGGATCAAGGAAAATGCTGACTGCTAAGAAAGGCCGAAGAAAATAACCCACTAAAACTCAGAACAATGGTGGTTTTATGTAAGAGACACGAAAATATGCCCCTATTTATTAACACCCACAAGTTTCCACGGTTTCAATGCTAACACTAAAGAAACATAATATTCAAACATCAGAATCCTTTGAGCTTCCCCATGTTTGGAATAAGTGCGCCAAGCACTGCAATGTGGAAAGAGAATTTCATCATACCAAAAAATGAACAAGTGACAGACATTGGGAATGGGCAAAAACAACACAAAAGTCATTGTCTATTACAGTCACGCCTGAGCTAAATCTCCATAAATGTGAAGCTAACTTAACGAAGCTCCATAGGCAACGTCCGTCCAGGTTCCAACAAAGTGATTCGAATGCATCACAAAGCCTTGGATTATCATTACGATGAATTAGGGCTAATCGTTACGATGTGAGAGAGGCGAAAACAAAACCTGGTTCGTCCTCGAACTGTCCTCTTGACAAATTCCTTGCCCACAGATCTTTGCTGCTTCTCAGATGCTGAAGATCCATGGCACAGTTTTCTCGTCAACCAAAGCGAATCGAAGATCCGAGAGGAGATGTATCCGAGCCACCAAATGGCGGGAAAATTACGGAGAGAAGAACCATCCGATTTCCATTAATTTGACCTCTTCTTTTTTTGGTTTTCTAATGATGACCCCGGAATTATATAAGCTTCCATTTCAGCCCCCTCTGCGCTTCCCATCTTTTCCCCGAGGCAAAGGAAAAACCAAGAACAATCTTCTCAATCACAAAGTAATGGATTCCAATCCAATCGAATCAATATAGAAACTAGAAATACCTCCAATTTTATGGAAAACAATTTCAAACAATCAAAGGATATACACAAAAGAGGAGACATATCACATAAACACTGAATAAAAAATCATCTGTCCACAAGTACTATGGCATAGTATTCATTCAGTTCACTAGAATAAAACGTTCATAAGCTTGAAGAAAATGCTACAATCATCATTCAATGCAAACACTAAAGATTTGGCTAAAACTTTAGCCAGAGATTAGTTCATATTACTTGTGACAGGAACAAAGATCCAAAAGATGGGGAATTTGGATGTCGGAAGAATATAAAACATTAAGTGCAATGCCAAGAAGTGAAGCTCCGCTTCAATGGCGTCAATCAAGGCTCTTCTTTAGGCTTCTTCGGAAGCAAGTTGCAAAGAGCAGTGGTTAAGGCAAAGGGTGTCACCAAAGAAGCTCCCATCAAGTTTATAATCTGTCATTATACCAAAAATAAAAAGGTTAGATGCGAATCAGATCTTTCATCAAACAAAAATGTCAAAGACTAAGAAAACTTAATCAAATCGAGCGGTACCTCTGATCTTGTGATGCTAATCATTTGCATCTCAATGTCAACTAAACGGACCTGTAGCTCCTTTAGCAAGCAAATGGCTGAAGTCGAATTCAAAGGATTGATGATCATGTCATCAGATACGATGAATCTTGTCTTTTCCTTCACAAACTGATCTTTTGCAAAGGCTCGAGCTTGTCCCAGGAATAAACAAGATGCTTGTTGCAGTTTCTAGTGAAGCCATACTCCTCATGGTATGACGTTTTTGTAAGAAAATAACGGTACAACCTTAGCGGCTGGAGAGTGGCCCCTGTCCAATTCTTTGAGCTCAAATCCTTGAAGCTTCTATACAAGTTCCCAATGCATCCAAGAATGATTCCATCACCAACATTTTGCAATACAGAAGAAAAAGGAAAGCCAAGGAAAGTGAAAAGAAGATCAACCAAGTCATCTCCACATTCGAAATACAGAATCTTGCAGTCCTGCTTTCTGAAATAAACATTCAAAGTAACTGCTGCTTCAGGTTCTGCTGCTCTGTCTCCATGTTTTTTCACAAGAGGACTGAGCATTTGATACGTCCGTGTAATAATATTTGAACTTTGCTTCCTCAGAAACGCATCCGTCAATGGCGTATCCGAGGTGAATAAACACTCCAGCAAACTCAGTACCTATATTTTGGGAAATACAGAGTGAACCATGTTAAAATGGAAAACAAGATCACAGATTCATGAAACACACCAACATGAAAAATCTAATAGAAAAGGCAAAGCACCTCCTGCTGACCAACATCAAGAAATACGTCAACAAGCTTATCGACTTCAGCATAACCTAGACGTTCAAGTGTTTTCAGGACAAGCTCAAGAGAGTTAATGGACACATTCATATCGTCGGTGACAATGAATGAGGTATGTTTGCTGAAAAATACACTCCCTGCAACTCGATCTTCTTCCGAAACTATGATCTCCCTGGTCATCAACTTTCCACAGCTACATTTCGAGGTAGCATTGCTGTATAGTCTGGCACATGATTTGGTACTTGCAGAACTTGGACACACAAAGTACTTAATAGCCTTGGTGGTACTGTCTACATTGATCTTAAGCCTTCTACATTGATCCTCCATCGGATTCTGCGGGAACAGCAACCTATCCATACAAGCTTCGTTCCAAAAATAGTCGATGCCTATTGCTGAAACACTTCTGTAAAGGTTGCCTATAGAACCCACGACCAGAGTATCAGATTTCTTCTGCTTCTCAAGCAATCTCACGATGGTCCCCATTGGCAGTACAAGAAAACTAAAGAGAACATTGATGAAATCCTTCCCGACCTCTGCCCAGACAACCCTGTTTTTCTCTTTATCAACGAGAAGTCTCAGGCTACAGGTTGCTGTCTTTGAACTCGCAGCCATTGGAAAACGCAAGAAAAACAAATACAGAAAAGTGCAGGAACAATGTTCACAGTGACATGCATACTAAATATCAGAATCCTTTTATACTGATCACCGAACGAACATCATAGCCAAGCATCAAATCCTAGAGTCAGAATGTGAAAACAGCCCTTTGAGCTTCATCTTGAGACTTGAGTGCATGGATGGAACATGTACACGCTTCCGAAAGGGTCGTAAAGACATCGTCTTTTGGTATCATTTCACCTGCTTTTATTCATTTCAAGCCATGCATTTACAATTAACTTGTAACTCATCCAATGAACTTTGAAATGAAGCAAGTGAAACAGATTATGCCAGTTTATGTTTTATCAGAAATGACACAGCCAAGCATTCTATACTCGTACCTTTTAAAAGGGGACTAAATGCATCGAATGTTGTATAATAGAGCAAATAATCATTAATACCCTCACTGACTTCCAGAAAAGTGCATCGGTTTTCGGAGCAAAGCGTCGACGCACTTACCTCCGATCCAATTTCAGATGAGAAATTAGGGCTCCGAGATCAGTGCATCCCTTCAAGATTCAATGAATCTCTCTGAGCAAAATATCTCCCACTTCTCGTTCCGATTATCTGAAGATAGAGCCTGTCGATTATTATGATCAGACACGCTGAAACTAGGGTTTCTAGGAAGAACCCGTAAGAGATCGACAGAGAAGCCTGATTCGCCTTCCAATTCACTTCCCGGATATCTTCCATCGAAGAAAAGCTCGATTCCTGTCTGCAACCGGAGCCCGCTTTCGCATACCGAAACCCTATGAAGATTTTAGGGCAAATGGCGGGGAAATTGCAATAGTGGTTCTTTGTCGGGTCGGGTCGGGTCGGGTAGAAGAGAAAAACCAATCACTAATCAGCCATAAATTACAAACGTGGTCCCGCATTTTATGATGCTTCAGATACTGACCCAGTTATTCTTGTATTTCACATTTTAGTTCCTGTGCTTTTGTGAGTAGTAAGATTTTGCCTTAGATTCCCCTTATACATGCATATATATATGCACTTGTTTTGTTTTTTTTTTTTTTTTTTTTTTTTAACCTTCGAGAGGAACAAATATTAAAAGAATGTGGTTCTGATTCTAATGTTTTGATAAATAATAATGATCATACAATAAGAAGATCAAGTAGTAAAAGAATTTGAGTTCCAACAAGCACCCAACTTTAGTACATAGAACCCAAGTTTGGGTGGTGTAGTGGTGGGGAGGGGCATTCACATGGACTTCTCCGGTTCTCTGGGAGATGTAGTCGGACCAAAGTCCCGGTGAACTTCCGGATTATCAAAAAAAAAAACTTTAGTACATAGATTTGATTTATATATGTAGGAATTTTGACTCCTAAAACCCTGCAAGTAGAGAATGCCCAATAAGGAACGTTCCATTTCCAATTTCGGAACTTTCTTTCTTACGTCCTAAACTTACATTTCTTAACACCCCAACTACCATCGAGTGGACCAATCACATCAATTCCTCTATTTCTGTATGCATTAATGTGTGTGTGTCTATATATGTATATACACACGATACGTAGACTGATACGTACGTAAGTTGAGGCTGTTCATTTGTATGAATGGGTCAATTGCTTAGTCTATATCTTGAGCGTGTTACGATGTCGATTTTTAGACGAGTGAAATAAAGTCTAACGCATTAGAATGGTACGGCCGGGATTAATATGACCTAAATTATCGGTCCACGGAATTAAATCTTGTTTTGGTTTTTACGTTAAAATAAAACTGCTTTCTGATCTCCGATACCAAATAATACGAACGTGACCCAATTCTCAACAAGTACGCTATTTGTTCTTCGGTTATAAGCTGTATAATTCAATAGATGAAAATATATTTAACTAAGCATAGACTTTAATTATTCCATTTGTTATCATTTTATGCATTAATCAAAATACCGACATTTATCATATTTCGTAATCAATACTTAAGTATTTTGTCAATTATTATGGCAAACAAATTCCTTTAATAAAGTGTACCTTTTTTTTAATGTGTAATATTATAGTTCATTGAGAAATTTGGCAGAATTCGTGACAACGATTAATGGACATGTAACATGTGAAAAAAGGAAGAAAAAAGCCGCAAACTTTTTTTTTATTGCTTCCCATCATCATAGAAGACAATATATTTACACGTCTATGAAAGTTTAATAAAACAAAATCACGAAAAACTCGTCTATATCTTTTATTTGTTCTAATCTTCTGAAATTTTTAGATTTATCTTATGCTCTCATATTTTAAAACACCACATTCATTTTACTAAAAAATGAAAAGTATAATCATCAATCACACTAATACATCATTGACTTCTTTATTATCAAACAAAAAAACAACTTAATTAAAAATCATATTTTTAAACGTTCCATGTAATACGAGATAAATACGTTCAAGGACATATTCGTAAAAAATTTGTAGAAGATAAAAAAATGTTTCCTTTTTTTTTCAAAATCATACACGGAATTGTGTATGATACCTCCCTTCCGCCATATATCTCGGAGATTAAGGGGGAGATAAATACAAAATTAAAAAAAAAGGTAAAATATTAAGTAATATTTTGTAGATTTTTTCTCGTCTTATTTTTTAGATTTGTTTATCGGATTAAAATAACAATAAATTATTTTTCTACGTAAAAATTAAAACCCTATGAAGAATACAAATATACACCCGAACAAACTCTATCTCGTCTCCCGATATTTATCGAATTTTATAATCAATATAAAGTCGTTTACGATAACAAAAAAAAAATACAAATAGATAAAAATGCACTTTCACGATAATAACGAGTAACGAAGAGAAAAAGACTTGTGAGCTCTGGTGACACTAGAATTCTAAGTACACACAGCTGCTTACACGCCAATATATATATATACGACTCTATCTCACACGCATATATATATATATACACATATATATGCAGAGAGATAGTTGTGCATAGATCTCGGGAGAGAGAGAGAGAGTAGAGGAGAAATATAACAATGGAGTAACAAAAATTCTTTCAACCGTCGAATCTTTCATCTTCATCTATTTTCCTTCGCTTTCTAGTTAACTTTCCCGGAAAATTTTGCTGCTGCTTTTCTTTTCACTCTTTTTTTTTAATCTATTAATCACAGAATCCCCGTCTCCAGCCACATGTCGGCCGGATCTCCGTTAAACACGGCGACCATCGTCCAAACACCGGCGCCGCCCACGAAGACACGGCGGCGCGTGGAAGCCACCGTGACGGCGGAACAATGCCGAGGATCAAACGGCGTCGTTTACGACGAGGAGGAGGGGACGAGCCCGGTGGGGTCGAGCTCGTCGACGGAATCTCACCACCACCACACACATAACCACCACAGCTTCTTCATCGGATTCCTCTCCCTCCGCAGATTCCGACTCGTGTGGATGCTGATGATGGAGAACAGAGGGCAATGGACTGTCACGATGGCTAGAAGCCTGAGATCCAGGATCGCGATTCTCACGCTGATTTTCATACTTGCTTTTGTATCCTCCGTGCTCTTGTTCGCTTTCTCCGGCGGCGGCGGAGGAGGAAGGCGGAGCGTGGGGAGTCACGCGCTTGATGGGTCGTCGTCGGGTTTGGTAATGACGGTAACTGGGGGGAAGGATTCTGCTCAGAATGTTGTCTCAGATGCTATCACCACACCCATTGTTCCTCATAAAGTCCCCGTAAGTTCCTTTTTTATTTCCTTATATTTTCGATTACGATCTTCCTGCAAATTTCCATGCAAGTTTTCCGTTTGTTTCCCGAGAAAAAACCAGAAACAGCAGAGTAACGAAATCCTATGAAAATCTCTGCGAAAATCCGACACGTTGGGAGCTTCTGTTCAGTCGACAAAACTTTCTGCATTAAAGATTTTGTTTTAGTTTTAAAGTCTGTTCCTTTCGAGATCTGCATAGATTTTCTTGAGATTTTGGTGCAGTTCGTTTAAAAAATATTACGATTTTTTTTTCACCAAGTATGATGAATTCGTCGTGGGTCTCCACCGTTCCATTAGTCTTTTGAATTTTCCGCGATTTCCAGTTGACTTCTTATTTATTCATTGTATTTGGATAATAATGATATTTTACAAGTTTAATAACTAATCTAGACGATAAATCATGATTATCTTTCGTTAATACCCCAATTAGGATGTGACTCAAACCAGCGTAAAATGGCGGCGGGCTTGAATACGATTCAAATACTTATGGGCTTTCCAATTCAGTCAGGCCCATTAGGACATCACATGTAGATAGTAAAACGATGTCGTTTCGCTGTATACCTTATTACCTCTTACCTTTGTGCATTTTGACAGATTCCGGAGATTTGGCAGAAACCAGACAATGAAAGCTATGTTCAATGCATAACTCGGCCGAAGAACAGAAGTGAGTTTTTTTTCCACTCTATCTTACAATCTTAAATCTAAAAAAAAACTCAAATTTCAAACAGAAAATTGATCTGATCTGATCCGATCTTGTTCGATGATGTTCAGGAGCACCTCGGCGCACCGACGGTTACCTTCTTGTCCACGCAAATGGTGGTTTGAACCAGATGAGAACCGGCGTAATGTTTCTGAAAATCTCCAGTTCAAGATCTTTTCTTTTCGATATTCTTGGGCTAATTGCATCGTTCGATTACAGATCTGCGATATGGTTGCGGCCGCCAAAATGATGAATGCTACTCTGGTTCTTCCGTTTCTCGACAATACTTCATTTTGGAGCGATCCGAGGTATCTTCACTTCGTTTTTTGCATCGTTTATTCCTATTTCTTGTGGAACAAGCAACCTATACTGAGATGGGAACATTTGATTGTTCTGCAGTACTTTCAAGGACATATTCGACTGGAGACACTTCACGAAAGTGCTTAAAGACGATATCGATATCGTAGAGTACTTACCACGGGAATATGCTGCGATAGAACCCGCAGTGATCGATCCGATTTCATGGTCCAAGGTATTTTACTAGGTTTGATTTCAGTTCAGTTAGTGTAATAATGTCATTAGTAAAGAAAATGTAACTCTAAATTCTGCTGTCTGGTAGGCGAGTTATTACAGGAACGTGGTTGCAAAGACACTGAAGGAGAATAAGGTGGTCGAGTTCATTCATGCAGACTCTCGGATGGCAAATAACGGTATCCCTCCTTCGATCCAACGGCTGAGATGTCGTGCCAATTACGAGGCTCTTCGGTATGGCAAAGACATAGAGGATCTCAGTAAAGACATGATCAGTCGTCTGAGACGAAACAACGAACCCTATCTCGCTCTTCATCTCAGGTACAGTTTCAGATCACAAACCCTTTTGGCCAAAAAAACAAACCAGAAAAAGAATCTGAAAAACAAAACCGAACTTGATACACACAGGTACGAGAAAGATATGTTGGCATTCACTGGCTGCAATCACAGTCTAACCCTAGAAGAATCCATGGAGACTGAGAAGATGAGATACGATAACCCACGATGGAAATACAAGAAGATTAACGGTACGGAACAACGTTTACTGGGAGCTTGCCCAATGACGCCACGTGAAGCGGCCTTGTTCCTGAAAGCAATGGGTTTCCCCTCGACCACGACTATATACATTGCGGCCGGAGAAATCTATGGAAATGGTAGCATGGATCCGTTCTACGGAGAGTTCCCTAACGTATTCACTCACTCAAACCTCGCCATGGAAGAAGAGCTCGAGGGTATCAAGCCTTACCAGAACCGACTTGCTGCTTTGGATTACATGCTGGCTATGGAGAGTGACGTTTTCGTTTATACCTACGATGGAAACATGGCTAAAGCGGTTCAAGGTCACAGAAGATTCGAGGGTTTCAGAAAGACGATAAGTCCGGATAGGTTCGGTTCCCTATTGCTTGTACCGCAAGAAATCTGAAATTTTTGCTCCAACGCTTTACTAAAAAAAAACCTTTTCGTATTTTGTTTTCAGGTACAGGTTCGTGAAATTGGTTGATCGTCTCGACGCGGGAAACATTACATGGGAAGAGTTCTCGTCCGAGGTTAAGAGACTGCACCAGAACAGGGTAGGATCTCCGTCTCTTAGAAAGCCAGGTGGAGCTCCCAAGACTGAGGAGAACTTCTACGCGAACCCTCTACCGGGTTGCTTGTGCGACAAGTCTCAGTACCAGACCGGACTTAACCGGTTCGAGGGACCAAGTCTACGAGCCCATTCGCTTCGATAGTTCTCGGTTCAAGATTTTGGTATATATACACACACGCAAAGGGCAGAGGTAACAGCTCAGCACTCCGCGGAAGAGTAAGAGTGTTTTTCTCTTCTTCATTTTCTTCATTATTTTTAGGGTTTTTCTTTTCATAGTACAATTTTATAGAATACAGATTAGGGTTTCTACTACTTATTAACCGTGCCTGCATTAAATTAAGGAGTCTAAATTTGAAGAGATATATCACCTTTTACTAATTTGAAAAGAAATACTCGAGAGAAAAAGATTTTTACATCTTTGAATGTCTAGATCTACTGAATTAATGATGTGTTTTTTTGTCCCTACACGTGGAAATAACACTGACCCACAAGCTCTTTTCCTCTTCTCACTCTCTCACTGTTTTCCGACAAAAGTGAAGGTGAATGTCGTGGTGTGTAATGGATCTCCAATATGGTTCACGAGAAGCTTGCTCCTATTTATGGAAAGAACATTTTAACAATGTCTTTCTCTCTAGTCACTTTCTCCTCTCTTGCTTATTCATTGCATTACAGTAAGGAGACATGGTCCAACATGAGCAAATGAAACCCTAAGTTCCAGAGGAGAAACAGAGAGGGGACATAGGAACAATAAAGAAACTCGAAATCGAAATGAAACAGCATCAAGAGCTAATATGCTGCGAGATCGACAAACTACATTTACACAATTTGATTTTACATATCAAAACTCATATCACAGAACCTGCAACTAAGAAAAAAGAAACATCAAAACCCGGAAAAAACGAGCGCTTACATTTACACTACAACACAACACAATATACCAAACACCCTTCTGAACCAAATCTCCTCAATCTACTTCACTTGTTGCCTTCTTCTTCTTCTTTGTCTGCAACCATGGCTTCCACCGATTTTGCCGTACATTCCACAGGAGCCACAGCCATTGGCCGCCTTCCGCCACATATGGTCCATAGATACAATGCCAGCATTGCTCCAAAGGTGCCACAGACTGAGCCCAGGATCAATGCAGTAAGCATTTTCCAAACACAGCTACCTTTCCTGTGAACATGCGTCGGCTTTTCCACTACGCCCTCCCTTTCGGTCTTCGAAACTTCATTTGGATCAAGCGGCTGAGAATGCATCCAGGCGGGGGCAGGATGCCTTATGTTAAAGATCCACGAATAGAGAAAATGCGGCTGAGAAGAATTCCCGTTGGTGGAGCCTAAACCCACCATAAATTTCCCATCTTTCCACAGTTTCGCCAGCTCGATTGAGTAAGAGATCAATGGATCAGCTGGCTTTGTGTCCGATTTCATCATACTAACTTCAATTCTCTTCAAACTTGCCTCGTAATCAATCCAACAATGCAACTTTTCTCCATTGTTCCATAGGAAGTTACGGAAAGATGACAAGTTTCCGACTTTAGCTGATTTGGGGCCACCCACTACAATTCCTGCACGGCGACCTTTCATGGAGGTACTAAATTCAACAGCAACAACTCGGGTCTCAGCCTGTTCATATTGTAAGAGAAACCCTAGACCCGAAGAGCTATTATCCTTACGACCAAACAACCTGAGATCCAGACCACTCGGAACCATAACAAAAGCCAATGCACCACCGGTCTTGTTGGACATCGAAAACGAGAAATGAGTCGAAAAAGAACCTGAATTTCTCCCTTCACCGCCAAACAGCTGGATGGGTTTCCTGTAAAAGACTCGCCCCTCGCTCCGACTCATTGAGTCAGTGAGCTGGATCGAAGAACCGCCATTAACGACCTTCGAATCTCCAAACAGAGCAATATGCTCGTCGGAGCTCGGAGATTGTCCGAACCCATTAAACGTTGTTAGTGGTGGCTCCAAAAATTAGTGGGAGACAAAGCTAAGTGACCAAGTTTTTTATTTGGAAAAACATAAACCATACAAGATGGCTCGGTTGGTGATGTTTATTCACAACCACAAGTTCATTGCTTCATTCTCCCTATAAATAGCTGTGCCATTTACATGTTGAAGCATTACAAATGAGAAGAATAACAATCAGAAGAAGAAGTGTGAGTTGAAGAGTTTTCTTCTTCAACAAGAAATCTCTTTTGGGTCCTTTTTCGAGGGTTTTTTCGGGGTTTCTCTTTTGGGTATCCAAGATATTTGTTTGGTGAGATTCTTGGATACATTTTGGTTAATTTTCTTCTTCTGAGTGTTACGAGAGAAAGGGTGTTTCTTTGGGATTTGGAAAGTGAGGTTGAGTGTGTTTTTATTATTCCACATTTGTTCACCGATATAGTGGAATTTGTTTTTCTTCCTCTCCGTGGACGTAGGCATTCTGCCGAACCACGTTAAATCCCGGTGTCTTTTATTTTCTCTCGTTAGATTCCATCGTCTCGCATTTGAGACCCGGTACGCTTCCGCACAACAATTGGTATCAGAGCCGCGGTACCTTTTACCAAGGCACGGGTCGATTTGAAAAATAAAAAAATTGTGATTTGGAGTTATGGCCCAGGAGACCACCGAAACACCGGCGGTAGTTGCAATTCCACCAGTTGGCTCATCATCGTCGTCGATCGTCCGATCCTCGGCGTCATCGGGAAGGACGGTGGTGACGAATGCGAAGATCGAGGTGGAGAAGTTCAACGGGACCAATAATTTCAGCTTGTGGCAAGGCGAGATGATGGATGCGCTTTATCAGCAAGAGCTTCTCGTTGCTCTTGATTCGCAGAAGCCGACACACCTGGAGGATACCGAGTGGGTATGGATGAACCGCAATGCTTGCGTAGTAATCCGTTCGTGTTTAACAAGGGAGCTAAAACTCCCTTATATGAAGGAGACATCTGCAAGCAAACTTTGGAGAGAGTTGGAGAAGCAGTTCCTGACGAAGAGTTGCCAGAACCGGTTGTACTTGAAGAAGAAGTTGTTCCGCCTGCAGTACCAATCGGGCACTACGATGTACAACCACATATCAGAATTCAACAAGCTGGTAACGGAGTTGGAAAACCTTGATGAAATGGTCAAGGATGAGGATAAGGCTCTTCTCCTCCTGAACTCTCTACCCGAAGAATACGAGAACCTTATCACTATGATACTTCATGGAAAGGAGCAGATCCGTTTCGATGAAGTATGTGCAGCTTTGTACAATCGGGAGATCCGGAAAAAGGATCAGAAGGAAAACAGTTCAACTTCAGCAGGGGAGGCCTATGCTGCTCGAGGTCGTGAACAGACTCATAAGCCTGGAAAGAAAAAGAAGGGTAGATCTCGCTCAAAAGGCAGACTTGCGAAGGATGAATGTGCCTTTTGTCATGAAACTGGGCACTGGAAAAAGGATTGTCCAAAGCTGAAAAAGAAAGAAAATGGGAAGGTCGTTTCAAAGTCGACTTCAGACGCCTTTGTCGCCAAACATGAAGATGACGAGTCAGAGTTCGTATTGATCGGCACATCGTCAAAATGAAAGGAGTAAGGAAGAATAACTTGTACTATTTCAAAGGTAGTACGGTTATTGGAACAGTTGCTGTTACGACTGAAGAAGATAAGGATTCTGAGGTCACCAGGCTATGGCACATGCGTCTGGGACATCCTGGAGAGAAGGCTTTGCAGAACCTCGTCAAACAAGGTGTGCTGAAAGGAGCCAGGCTATGCAAGTTGGACTTTTGTGAGCATTGTGTTCTTGGAAAGCAATCAAAAGTGAAGTTTGGGACGGCTATCCACAACACCGAAGGTATTCTGGATTATATCCATTCTGACGTATGGGGGCCTACAAGGGAGACCTCGTTAGGTGGTGGCCGATATTTTGTCACTTTTGTTGACGACTTTTCAAGAAGAATATGGGTGTATGTGATGAAGACCAATGATGAAGTGCTGAATTGCTTCCTTAAATGGAAAAATATGGTGGAAAACCAGACTGGGAGGAAGATCAAGCGTCTCCGAACAGACAATGGAAGAGAGTACATGAGTGATCCACTAGCCAAAATCTGTCAAGATGATGGCATTGTCAGACACTTCACAGTTCGAAATAATCCGCAACAGAATGGGGTGGCAGAACGCATGAACCGAACTTTACTGGAGAAGATTCGGTGTATGTTGTCTAATGCTGGATTAGACAAACGGTTCTGGGCTGAGGCTGTGACGTATGCGAGTCATCTCATCAACCGGTTACCATCTGCTGCAATTGGAGACAAGACACCCATGGAAGTTTGGTATGGCAAACCTGCTAATGATTATTATTCTCTACACATATTCGGTTCGGTTGTTTACTATCATGTGAAGGAATCAAAGTTGGATCCCAGAGCTAAGAAGTCGTTGTTCATGGGGATTACACCAGGGGTGAAAGGATATCGTCTTTGGTGCCTTGAATCAAAGAAGATCATTGTTAGTAGGGATGTCACATTTGATGAGCTAACCATGCTGAAGAAGCAAGTTGGTAGTACTCAGCAGCAGGTGGAGAGTAGTCCACAGGAGGTGGAGTTTGAAACTGCGAAGTTTGTTCCAGCAAACATAGAACCTCCTGTGGGAGAGGAGGATGTTGAAAATTCTGAAGACGATGAGGTTTCCACCCAAGAGCCTCAGAAGGAACTTCCCATTGCACTTCGAAAGCCGACGAGAACGTTGAAAATGCCTGCTCGATATGCTGCGGTGGCTTTTGCACTTCCGGTGATTGATGCTGATACTCCTATCACTTACAAGGATGTAGTCAAGAGTTCTGAAAGTGAGAAGTGGAAGAAAGCTATGGAGGAAGAGATGGAATCTCTCCGGAAGAACAATACCTGGAAGCTGGTGAAGTTACCAAGTGGAAAGAAGGCGATTGGGTGCAAATGGGTATTTGCAAAGAAAGAAGGATTTCCTGACAAGACTGATATCCGCTACAAGGCAAGGTTGGTAGCTAAAGGCTACGCTCAGAAGGAGGGTATCGACTACAATGAGGTATTTTCTCCAGTTGTGAAACATACCTCCATTCGGATTTTGTTGGCCTTGGTAGCTCAGTTTGATTTGGAGCTAGCTCAACTCGATGTGAAGACGGCGTTCTTACATGGAGATTTGGAAGAGGAAATCTACATGACTCAGCCAGAAGGTTTCACCGTTGCTGGTAAAGAAAATTGGGTTTGCAAGTTGAATAAGTCGTTGTACGGACTGAAGCAATCTCCCAGGCAGTGGTACAAACGATTTGACAAGTTCATGATCGGGCAAGGATACACAAGGAGCAAGTATGATCACTGTGTCTACTTCTACAAGTTACCAGATGGATCTTTCATCTATTTACTCTTATATGTGGATGACATGCTGATCGCATCAAAGAGCCAATCGAAGATCGAGAAGTTGAAGGCTCAGTTGAATCAAGAGTTTGAGATGAAGGATCTTGGAGAAGCAAAGAAGATTCTTGGAATGGAGATAAGCAGAGATAGAAAGATGGGCAAGCTTTGTTTGTCGCAGAGGCAATATTTGATGAAAGTACTTCAACGTTTTGGCTTAAATGAAAAGTCAAAACCTGTAAGTACACCACTTGCCCCTCATTTCAAGCTCAGTTTGGCGTTATCTCCTACCACAGATGAGGAACATGAGTACATGACGAAGGTTCCATATGCAAATGCGGTTGGTAGCTTGATGTATGCGATGGTGTGTACCAGACCCGACATTTCACATGCCGTTGGAGTGGTGAGCAGGTATATGCATAATCCTAGAAGAGGACATTGGCAGGCAGTGAAATGGATTCTGAGGTATATTCTGAAGACCTTGGACTTTGGATTGGTGTTTCAGCAAGATGGATCATTTGGTCACTGTGTGGTTGGATATGTGGATTCCGACTACGCTGGTGATTTGGATAAGCGGCGGTCAACGACTGGATATGTGTTTACACTGGCGAAAGCTCCAGTGAGTTGGAAGTCTACCTTACAGTCTACGGTGGCTTTGTCTACGACGGAGGCAGAGTATATGGCAGTTGGAGAGGCTGTGAAAGAAGCTATTTGGTTGCGTGGTTTACTCGGTGAGCTTGGAGTTGAACAGAAGAACATTTCTGTATACTGCGATAGCCAGAGTGCTATCCACTTGGCCAAGAATCAAGTCTACCACGCACGGACGAAGCACATAGATGTCCGCTTTCATTTTGTGCGGGAGATTATCGAAGAAGGTACTATACATCTCAAAAAAGGTGAAAACTATTGATAATCCCGCAGACATGCTGACCAAGGTGATCACAGCGATCAAGTTCAATCATTGTTTGAACTTGGTCAACATCATGCGCATTTGAACGCCTCCGGGCATATGAGTGCCATGAGGCACAGTTGGAGATATCCTTTCTCTTTTGATTTTGCAGATGGTGCTATTGGAGCCAAGGTGGAGATTGTTAGTGGTGGCTCCAAAAATTAGTGGGAGACAAAGCTAAGTGACCAAGTTTTTTATTTGGAAAAACATAAACCATACAAGATGGCTCGGTTGGTGATGTTTATTCACAACCACAAGTTCATTGCTTCATTCTCCCTATAAATAGCCGTGCCATTTACATGTTGAAGCATTACAAATGAGAAGAATAACAATCAGAAGAAGAAGTGTGAGTTGAAGAGTTTTCTTCTTCAACAAGAAATCTCTTTTGGGTCCTTTTTCGAGGGTTTTTTCGGGGTTTCTCTTTTGGGTATCCAAGATATTTGTTTGGTGAGATTCTTGGATACATTTTGGTTAATTTTCTTCTTCTGAGTGTTACGAGAGAAAGGGTGTTTCTTTGGGATTTGGGAAGTGAGGTTGAGTGTGTTTTTATTATTCCACATTTGTTCACCGATATAGTGGAATTTGTTTTTCTTCCTCTCCGTGGACGTAGGCATTCTGCCGAACCACGTTAAATCCCGGTGTCTTTTATTTTCTCTCGTTAGATTCCATCGTCTCGCATTTGAGACCCGGTACGCTTCCGCACAACAAACGTAAACGAGGAATTTCTGTCAGCAGCCAAGATTCCAACGCTTTCGAAGAAGAAAACGAGGAAAGCCAGGGTTTTTAACACACCCATGGCTAAACTGTGATAGAAGCTAGAAAATTTTGGGTTTCAGACTTATGGGCTTGAGCAGGGAGCTCTCCAACTGGACGGAATTTCTAGGATTCGCGAATGAATTCCATTTGTATAGAGGGAAATTTAGGGGTTTTTTTATCCCTTGGTATGGATTTTGGTGAAGACATCAGAGGAAAATTAAATACGTTTACTTGTTTCTGCGGGCACTTTTGATTCGCTCTCACACTCAGTGGTTGATGATTCGGGGAATGCAATAAATGCGGCATATTAAATATTGTCGATAGTTAATGTCCGTTTATAGTTTTTTTTTGTTTTAAAACTGATGTTGCACGTTAAAAAGTGATTCGGTGGGTAAAAAATTCAGATAAATATTTAAAATTTATACCTCTCCATTTAAACAGTTCAATGTTATAGATTTATAGAATGTTAGATATTTTTTTGTATTTGAAATGATAAAATTAAATAGTAAATGTGTGGTCGGGTCATTAAATGAGGTTGTCTGGAGAGAGAGAGAAAAAAAAAACAAATGAAGTGTCATAAAGAACCTTCTGCTTTGGCTCCCTCTCTCTCCGACTCGAAGAAAGACGGTAAAAGAATACACTGTTCATATGTTTTCTCCTCCACATCTATGGACATTAAATAAATATATAATATTATTAAATCTCTATTGTTTTATAATAAAAAAAATTGCTACCTCTTATGTGGCATTCATTGCTATAATTCACGGTTGACGCAACCTAAAATTTTGTTTTTGTTGTAAAATAATTAGGAAGCATTATAAAAGCGTTCGGGGTTCTATATTTGATCCAAAATTTCCATTTCTTTTCAATTATTATAGTTTGTCATATGTATATATAATAGTAACTATAGTATCTAATTAAATGCAGGAGGACGAGGGCATGTGAAGCGAGGCTTTAATATAGAACGATAAAATTGCGATACTATATAATAAAGAGGGCCATTGAATTTGAATATAATAAATACATAAATTTGGTCTGCATTTTATTCCAAAGACTGAGTAAAGTACCCATTGTCTCTCTCTTACACTGTGTTCCGTTGTTGTCACATTTATGTGACGAAAACCTATTAAATTTCTGTGGATATATAAATAAATTATTAAATTTACCTTTGTAGAAATTATTAAATTTCAAACTCCTATTTTAAAATTCTTTTCCGACATCTGAATTTTGAGCCCAGTATACGTCTTTAATAAGGATTGAAAAGCATTTTGTATAGGTTCTAAAGTAATGAAAATATCATTTGTCAAAAAAAAAAAAAAAAAAGGTAAGAGATGGAATATTTCGGTTATTTGCCCTCTGCGTAATGGGCTTCATGGACCACCACTATACTACGGCCCATAAATGAAATAGGCCCAATTGTATTGGGATTGGGCCCTTACCGTCTCAATTCGATGGGTTGGCAAACGATTTTCTTTAATGGTCGCTTCGCATCTTTGTCCTCTCGTGGCTCGAAAGCGCCCTTTCCGTCTCTCAAAGACTCGAAGCCCCAACTTGAAATAATTTTCGAACATACGAGTTCTTTTTCAAAAAAACAAAAAAAATAATAAATAAAAAACAATGGAACAGAAGCTGTATATATATATATATATATATATACACCTTAATATTTCAAGACTGCACACTGTTTCATCTGTTTTGCATCATATTCGGGCGGTCCCAAGGGAAAAAAATCCCAGGGTTTAAGTCTCTTACTAAGCTGAATATGTTAAGAATACATATCGGCAAAGACTAGCACGCAAAAGGTGCACACACAGAGATTCTCAGACAAAACCAAAGAAGTTGAAACATATATATATATATAGGCGTATATATGTATGCGTGTTTCGTATTTTAGGAGAAGTGTTAAAGAACCTGTACAGCTGCAGTAGTAGTAGTTGGGTTAGTGAGCCTCAAGGTCAGAGCCGTTTCTAAGTGCTTCATTAGCTTCGGCCTCCATCCCGAGCTTGAGGAGAGAAGCCGCTTGTAGGTACAGAGCTATCGGCCACTCGGGTGAGACCACCTGCGCTTGCATTGCATCGCTCAGCGCCTCCTCGAACATATCGCTCATCATGTAACACAGACACCGTCTGGCCATTACTGTCGGTGACTCTGCCATTGCTCCGCTCATATACTGCTAAAACGGATGTTTAAGAAAAATGGACTGTCTGCAATTTCCTTTATTTGAATATATATATACCTCTGTGTAGAATTCAATGGCAGTTTCGAAATCCTTGGCCCGGAAAGCAGCATCTCCGTGCCTCTTGTAGTCCAAATTCTCCTGCATTTGGCCCGTCCACATTTGGAACGAAAGCTGCATTTTTACCATACTATTCAACTCAGTTCCTTTATTTTTCTGATCATATTCTTCAATATTGACTATGTTTACCTCGCTCGTGAATGCGTCGTCGTCTTTATACCCGAGTCTCTCGAGCAGTTCATGTATGGTGCTAAGATTCACTCTCCAACATGCTTCTCCAAATGGCGTCAAGTACATCAGCTGCATCTCTGGTTTACTCCCACCTCCTTTCTTTTCGGGCAGACCGTATGATGGAGACTGTCATTACTCATTCGATAAGAAATCTGAATTCTTCTTCTGAACTTGGAACATCTATACATGCTCCAAGACCGAAAAAATGTGGTCGGAGTGACTTACAGGCGTGGTGGACCCTTTGACATTGGACCATAACTCAGCTCGTTTCTGAAGTTTTGTAAGAGTCGAGACAATAAACTTTATGCTGGGCCTCTCTTCGGGTACAGTCCTCAAACAGCGGGAAGTCAGATGCATTAGTTCTGTTCCATCCTCGTCGGAGAACTGACCATCCAGAGCTGAATCCATTAGCACCAACAAGTTTTTGCCCTTGAACAAATCAAGTGCCTGCATTCGCATCCACAAACGAACCAAAGATTAAAACCTGCAACTTTGTCCCAGCTCCAATATAATTCCGCCCTGCTGTAGTGCAATACAGATTAAAACTTGGAGAACTAAAAGATTTTTGACTTGGTAGAAGAAACTTACATGATATGGAGGAATGCGTCTGCCGCCGATGAGATCCAGTAATACTGTGCCGAAGCTAAAAATAACACTCTCTGGCATCACAGTACCTGGCAAGATTTGCAGAAAGGTTTCCATAAGATTTCAGATGATTTTTTTTTTTTGCCCAGAAAGATGAAATATCTTGATATATAACAAATAACTGCATACAACAGATAAAAAGTTCATAACACCAAGAAGTATGAGAATGACAAAGTAATACACAGTATACAGAATGGAGCCATGGAACTTGTTTCTTGATTATGTCAATCATACAACCTTAGACCAGATCAAAGTGTAACAAAGAGTTCACCACCTGTTTTTGAGCTCTGCACAATCCAAATTCATGAGGTAAGCTAAAAGGGTGTAGCTTATAATTACCTAAGGACAAATATTCAGGAGGGGCGAATGCCAAATTCGAGCTATAGCTCTTTCCTGTTTGGATACTTTTCATAAGGCCAAAGCAAGACAGCCTCGGGTTCTCCACCTGTAGGAGAATTTCGTCACTTTTATGATACAAATGAGGGAGTTAATCTAAAACATGAGGGAAGTTTGGAGTGGAATCTTACCTTATCAAACAATATCCTGTAGGCATTAAGATCATGGTACAAGTCTCTTCCCTTGTCAATACAGAACTCCAAGGCTTTTGCGGTATGCAGTGCAACCCTTAACCTTGTTTCCCATTTCATCGGCCGGTTCTCCCCTGAAAGCCATCTTACTATTTTAGCAACCATCAAAATAGAAAGGGATTCAAAACAGCTTAACACCGGTGGATGAAATTTCTAACTATTTCCATCAATATATTCAGTTATTTTGTTTTTCAACCTTAGAGACTTGGAGCTTTGCTGGAATTTGTCGTCCAGAAACTGAGGTCTTAGCGTTACATTCCTAACATGCTTAGTTATACGAAACTGAAACCATCAACCTCTGTCCAAGGAGATACTGACTGACAAGGGAACATTTTCTTATTTCCGGCTTCCATCTCTAATCAAAGGATACCTATTTGCACAAGGATATTATCATATCGTGTCTTAAGGGAACAACCGATATTACAAGCTCGAGAAGGGTAGAAAAGCAGAGGACGAGGCTCACAGTGGAAGAGATGCTTTGCAAGATTTCCATTGGGCATGTACTCAGCAACAAGCAACCTTTCGTTGCCCTCTAAACAACACCCGGTTAAGTTTGCCATATCCTCACTCCTCAACCTCCCCACAGCTCGAGCCTCATCCTGAGAGATCGCCACATTCAAAGGAAGATAAGTTGGAACCTTTCAGAACTTTTTTTAGATTCAGAGTAAGGGTTGAATCTCCACATACTTGAATTGAAAAACCAATCGAGTCAAGTATGGAAGAGTTAATCAAATTTCAACAACTAATCAAGCAGACTTTAATACGCCAAGAGAATCGGTGATAATCAAGCGAAACCAGGCATGAAGAAGCCCAAGAATCAACCAATCGCATTAGACTCCGGAAATTTCACCTAACCGAAATCGAGATAGTGAAATTCATAATCAAATTGAACCGATCAAAGAATACGAAAACGGAATTAGAAGATTGATAGGGAGGACGAACGAGGAATTCGAAAGGATCAGGCCAAGCACCCATCTGGAATCGCTTGACGGCGACCGCACGGCCGTCATTGAGCTTCCCTTTGTAGACGATGTTAGGAACTCTTTCGTTGTGCTCCGACACTATGTTTCCGGCGGAAAATTCGTCGGTGGCGATCCTCAACTCCTCCAAGCTGAATTCGCGGAAACTCGGACAAGATTCTCTGGCATCCTCTCCGGCGTTCTCTGAGGCAAACGACACCCTCAATTCTCAATAATCTTCTCCGTGAAAAAAAAAAACACCAAAACAAAAAGGCAGTGGACGGAATCTTCGACGGATTTTACCTGGATCGTCGACGATGGTGGCGGTATTGGACGAGTGAGGTAAACGGGGACGCCATGACTTGAAGCAGATGCAGCCCATCAATGGCGGAAACGGAGGAAGATTGAGTAGGTCTATGAATCGTTCGTGGAAGAAAACCTAGATCAGTCACACGATCGGACGGCTAATTCGCCTCCCAGGTGTGTGTATTTGTTTCCCAAGAAAACTGTTTCTTCTTCTTCTTCTCAGAAACTTTGAAATGCCCCACGAACAATTCCCGCCCCCAAACTGTCTTTTTCTATCAGAAGAAATGAAAAAAAAAACAAATCGCTTTTTAATATAACATAATTAAATATTTGATTGACTGTTAGAAATAAATATTCCATTTTCTATAAGTAGATAAGATTTTTCATCATGGAAAATATATATAAGTTATGTAAATAATTCCCGGTGATTTGATTTAGATACATGATTGGTTATATATATATATGATAATTTGAAAGGAAATAAGAAACATAAATGGTTTATAATGAACAAATGGAAAATTTTCAATTGAAGACACCAAACACAAAATTCAATAATATCCAGTCTTGCGGAAAATAATGAGAGCTAAAACGTGGGGGTCATACAATAAACAATATCGCCTTTATATATATATATATATATATATGAATCAAGATTACAATGTCAACCGAATCTTGTAACATAATAAACAAGCAATATTAATATACTTTTTAATATATATATATATATATATATATATTTGCTGGGGTTGCTTGTACAACCTTCTTCCACGTGAGTCATGCGCTCTCGATTTTTCTACGAGCAAAAATAGGCGATATGTTTGTCTTATATTATATAGAATGCGATACAATTGCAAAAAAAAAAAAAAAAAATTAATTCATTCTGATATAGGGGCACCCTAATGTATAAGGTCATCATAGTAACACATACAGTGTCAATATATATAAACACATATATAGTACATTGTAATATATATGTACATGTTCTCGAAATGACGTGCATGAATCATGTTATCGTTATGTTCAACGCCATGGTCAAACTAATGGGCTTAAAGTTTAGACTCATATGGGCCTTATAATTACAGTTATAGGCCCAATATATCTATTTTTGAAGAATTTTCGGATCAAATTCTCATGTCTTCGTAGCCCATAAGTATATGGGCCGATTCCATTTTCAGCTTTCGGGTAATTAAGAGATAAACCGAACCTAATCTAAAACTCGTGAACATCGAGTAAATTAAACTTGATAATATAATGTTTGCTTTAACAATATAATAATGGAGCGCAGGTAGCTTCGTCGTCCCCGATGTGAATGCCAGATTTTTATTTTTTTAATCTATATAGAAATCATTGGCAATTAAAAAAATACGCTAAACAACACGAGTTGGGTAGAGAGCATGTTGCAAGATGCAGATCGTGATCCTTAGTGGCACAAAGTTGATGAAGCCATGGCGATACCTGAGGAAGTAGCCCTTCTTGAGGATTACGTCAGCTCCTCCGTCGACCACCGCGGCCTTCCCGCCGGAAAATCCTCCACCGGCGGATACAGATCCGCTTGGTTCATCATAGGTAGTTAAGACAAAACACGAGATACTGAGCTTGCTCTGTTTCTTGAATTTGAAGAACAATGTTTTGAAGGTGTGGAAGTGGCGGAGAGGTTCGCTTACTTCGGGATCTCATCGAATCTCATCAACTACCTCACCGGACCTCTCGGCGAGTCAACGGCGGGGGGCGCCGCCCCCTACATCTAGGATGGGCGGCCGCCGCCAACATCAATGTCTGGTCGGGAACCGCCTCTCTTCTTCCTATCCTCGGAGCTTTCGTCGCCGACGCTTATCTCGGTCGTTACCTCACTATCGTCATCTCCTCTCTCATCTACGTACTGGTTCGTCATCTCTCTCGCAACTCCGTTTCCAATCCGAAATCGATATTTATCCGATGGAATATTAGAAATTGACTGCTTATCATCTGAATTCTGGATCATAGGGACTTGGACTTCTGACTTTATCTGCTGTACTTATTCTCAACGACATGTCCGCCGCCGACAAAACCTCTCCGGCGGCGGAATCTCCGTTTTCATTGGTGAACATTCTGTTCTTCTCGTCTCTGTATCTCATAGCGATCGCCCAAGGCGGACACAAGCCATGTGTCCAAGCTTTCGGGGCTGATCAGTTCGACGCCGATGACCCACGTGAGAAAATGGCGAGAGCCTCCTTCTTCAACTGGTGGTTCCTCAGTTTATCCGCAGGCATCACCTTGTCGATCGTCGTTGTCGTTTACGTCCAGGACTACGTAAACTGGGCCCTAGGGTTCGGTATCCCTTGCGTTTTCATGGTGGTGGCTCTTGTCCTTTTCTTGCTCGGGAGCAGGACCTATCGGTACTCCAGAATACATGAGAAGGAGGACAACGCTTTCGCAAGAATCGGTAGAGTTCTGTTCGTAGCTTTCAAGAATCGCGGTCAGCCGCCATGTCCGGACAAGACCGACCTCGAGGCAAGCTCGTCCCGGGAATGTACAGAACATGGCTGGTGCGTTAGAAAACTCTATGATCTTTCTTTCTGCAACGGTTACGTTTCATGTCAGGCTAAAAGTTAAGTCCTTTTCGATCAGGTCGCTTTCCCCAAACCATAACGAGGAAGAAGGTTCAAGGCCATGCAGCGAGACGGACGTGGAAGACGCAATGGCACTTGCAAGGCTAATCCCGATATGGATCACGACTATCATCAGCTCGATTCCGTATGCACAGTACGCGACTTTCTTCACGAAACAAGGCCTGACAGTGAACAGGAAGATCTTGCCCGGTGTCGAAATCCCTCCAGCTTCTCTTCAGATGCTAATCGGCGTATCGATCGTTCTCTTCGTCCCGCTTTACGACCGAGTCTTCGTCCCGATCGCGAGGTCCATAACCAAACAGCAATCAGGAATCACAATGCTACAAAGAATAGGAGGAGGGATGATATTATCAGTTCTCACAATGGTGGTGGCAGCTCTAGTGGAGATGGAACGGCTCAAGACAGCGAAAGATTACGGACTCGTAGATAAACCGAAGACAACGGTTCCGATGTCGATATGGTGGTTCGTTCCGCAGTATCTTATGGTCGGACTGGGAAACGTGTTGACCCTTGTCGGGACACAAGAGTTCTTCTACGACCAAGTTCCACGCGAACTGAGGAGCATCGGTCTGTCGCTGTCTCTGAGCGCGTTGGGAATCGGCAGCTTTCTGAGCAGCGTGCTGATCTCGGTGATTGACTCGGTCACGGTCGGGGAGAGCTGGTTCGACAACAACCTGAATGAAGCCCACCTCGATTATTTTTACTTGCTACTTGCTCTCATCGCTGCTTTTGGCTTCGCTACCTTCTTGTTATCTGCCAAGTCTTATTCTTATCGGCCGTGACCATGCCATATAATTTTCTTATCCAGTTTTTGTTTTATAACCATGTTTATATAATGTTCATACAATTGAATATAACAGAAAATAAAATAAAAAATGTGTTTACTTGGTTTCTGTGATTAGGGTTTAGACTTTTGTGTTGATTCATTCACATATGGGTGAGTCTCCTCAAATTTCTCAAATCCATATTAATATATATGCACAAAACCCACATTAGTGAACAAAGAATGTGGATATTCTTGGTTATTTGAATTAAATACACAAATTAATGTTAGGTCCAAATAGGTTGGATCAAATGTAGCAAATAAATACTGGTCAAAACTAACAGCGAGGAACGTTTGAAATTGTCATGGGACCACTATAATTTATGATACGATCCATTCCTCATCTTCAATAATAATATCAGATTATAATAATAATTCCACTTAATTTTTATGGTAATTTACACGATGATTTTTGTCATGAAATGTTGAATTCTTCAATTATTAGTGGAGAAAATATAAAATATACGAAGAAGACAATTAGCCAAACATGGATCACGTATCTCCCCCCACTATCTTCTTCTTTTTTTTTTTCCTTTTTTGTCGCCTATCTGCTCATCAAGACTTTTGCCAATTTTATATATGCATATATATATATATATATATATATATATATTGGAGAGATTCTTTCACCTCTCCACATTCAGTTTTTATAATCCGACAAAAGAAATACAATTGGTGTTTGGTGTTTGGTGTTTGTTTTTGTTGCAGCTTTGTGCTTCCTCTATCCATTATTCCATGCATAATACAACATCCAATATCCGACAGTCCATTTATTGCAATACTTGGAATTCCATAACGTATATATACTCAATCACGCGGAGTATGCGTCATACAATTTATTACACAAATGGTGCGTAGGACCATCAAAAAGTAAAACAGCAGTGCAAGCGAATAAAGGGTAGAGTAGAGTTCAATATATACAGAATTCATTTTTCAAATCGTTACAAATAAAGATTCGGATTAGACAACCTTGGCACAGGCACGACAAGAATCGGATTCTTCAACTTGATAAGCTGTCCAAACTTCTCCTCTATCTCAAATGTTCGCCCTTTGGGAATATTCCAATCAAATGAGTGCAAGAACGTGGCCAGATTGTAGAGAACCACCCTCTCAGCCATGGCTATGCCGGCACATATTCTCCGTCCGGATCCAAACGGGAGATAACTAAAATTGTTCCCACTAAAGTCGCCGGTTCTACCAAGAAACCTGTCGGGATTAAACTCCAATGGATTCTCCCATTGGCCTGGATCTCTATGGATGGACCATACGTTGATGAACACCTTAGTATCCTTTGGAATGGTGTATCCGGCGATGATGGCGGACTCGCTGGATCGATGAGGGACGAGGAGTGGAAGAATTGGATGAACCCTTAGGGTTTCTTTCATGACGGCAAACAGGTAAGGGAGTTTGGTGATGTGAGATTCTTCTACGATGTTGTCTTTGCCTACCACTTCGTCTAACTCCTGTTGGGCTCTCTTCATTATCTCTGGTCTATTTACGAGCTCTGCCATGGCGAACTCTATCGTGTTCGAAGATGTGTCTGTACCTCCAAGTACCATGTCCTGCTCAAAACCAGACATACATACAAGTTTACCAAAGTCAGAGATAAGCGAGTATATATATATATATATATATATAGTGCATTGATGCCCATGACCTTGCTATTTACCATGTCAGGATTGCATATTACAATGTAAAACCGGTATTTGATTGGATATAGGATAATAGATTAGGGTTTAATTAGACAATAGAAAACAACTAAGAAAATGAATTTGAGCATTCGTTACATAGTTTTAGTTTATGGTTAGATAATAAAGTGCATAATCAATATTTTAAAATATAAAAAAATTCATTTGTAAAATATAAAACTTGTGTAACATAACCAGATTCAATCTTATACCAGATCCAAACGTGGCGCAAAGCGTTTGTCCCGTCCCGAGTTCGAACCCCAGGCTGGGAAGGGAACGCATAATTCAAATCGCATGGCTGGTTCCCGGCCCCGGGATTAATCTGGACTTCGGCCCAGAAAACCCGGTTACCAAAAAAAAAAAAAAAAAAGAGAAAAGGGCGTACGTACCGTGAGAACAGCCTTGACGTGGTCCATGGAGAGAGGGGTACTTTTGTCTTCGTCTTTCACCTTTAATAAGAATTGCAAGAAATCCTTACCGTCCCCTGGATTCTTATCATCAACTCTCAGCCGTTGATTGATTATCCGGTCAAACATCTGGTCAAAGCGCTTAGCCGGTCCACGCATCCGCTTAACCAATCCTTGCAAATCGAACCGGCTCAAAACCGGGAAGAAATCTGAAATATCAGGAATACCGATGATCTCGTTCATCTCATACACCAATTCTCTGAATTCAGCTCCAACTCTTTCGCTCTCCTCGTCTGCAACCGTCGCTCCCCACAGCATCTGCGTTATAACGTTCAATATCGTCACGAAAATCTGCTCGCCGAGGTTAACCGTCGAACCGGACTGGCCCCGGTCCGCCAAGAACCGGACGGTCCGTCGGATCTCGGCGCGGCGGAGAATGTAGAAAGAGTCCAGCGTGGTGCTACTGAGCATGCGGCTAACGCATACTTTCCTCAGCATCCGCCACTCCGGTCCGTACGGAGACCAGAGGATGTCAACGCCTCCGTACGTGTTGACCCTCGCGGCGATGGGGACGTCATGGTTGGCGAAGGTGACGTCATGAGTCTTGAGGACTTCGCGCGCCATTTCCGGTGAGGAGATAACGACGGCGAGCTTGGCGCCGAGGCGGAGTTTGAAGATGGGACCGTATTTTCCGGCGAGAGCGTCGAAGTATTTTTGGAGCTCCGGTTGAAGGAACGGTAGGTTTCCGACGATGGGGAGGCCGGGGGGGCCCGGAGGCAGCGGCGGCCGTTTGGCCTTGGTGAAGAGCCGTATGTACCATAGAACGGAGAATACAGCGATGAGGATGAAAACGACGTCGTAGGGCTCATCCCATGACATGATTGCCTTTCTTTTCTCTCGAGACTTCTATTGCCAAATATATTTATGCAAAAGATGTGATACTGATTTTGGATCCTCAGATCCCATCTATATAGATTGTCCTATTGAGCCTTTTTATTATTATTATATATATACACACACACATGGGTAACTTGTGTGACTTGATAATTGAGTTTTGTGTAACCTTTTTTTTATACATTGGAAGTTCTGATAAGTAACATGCGGAATGATAAGTTTGGAATTAACGATGTTTGACCTTAGAACAATTTTCAAGTGATGGTGGATAATCATTTTAGTACGACTTTTTTAGCAAATATCTTTATTGAAACTTTGTCAAAAGCGGTTTATATTCACAAAGTCTATGCTTCGACGTATTAAAATTTCTAATATTATTTTTTTGGTCAAATCTATTGTACAAATTTAAAGAGATTAAATTTTTTTATTTGTTTTTAGAATGGTTATTGGGAAAAATGTATACAAACGATGCATATACAAAACAAAATATATCACACAAGTTATAATCATTTTAATTGCTGTTTTAATAAGCACGTAATAAAATGCGTTTATAACGTATGCAGATCCATCATTTATGTCGTTGACCTTACTTCGGGAACAGAACCTCACACCACGTCGACATATTCTTCTATATTGCTTCTATGAAATGACCAATTCAAATAATTTTAGTTTCCGTCGACAAATAAATTATTTTGCCAATTTACCAAAAAAAAAAATATTTTGCCGTGAACTGTTTTTTTAGATTCGTTTATTATAATTTAATTGGCAATTACTTTCTTTCCCAAAAGTTCATTAGTTTATTAGTAAGAAGCTCCCTTCTACATCTAGGATGGGAAATCGTATACGGAAAAAAATTATTTATTTTACGTTCTCATGCGTCCCTTTTTAAATCAATATAACAATTTATTGACCTATGAAATTTATCAATTTGTTTGAACCCAGATGGCAGTTCTAACAGGGCCCAAATGCCCAAAATAAGGTTTTGAGTCCAACTCATAAAGTAAAGCTCGTACGAACAATGGCACATAAAATAGGTCCAAAGGCCCAAATATCAAATAAAATAATCAAACGCCGTATTTTATTTTAAGCTATAATTGTAGATCCATGCGGATATCATGTATTATAAAATAACAATACGGAAAGGATAACACTATTTTATCCAGCAACATAATTCAACAGAAAACAATACCTTAAAAATTAACACAAGATTAAATGTTGACAAAACCAAAGAGGGGGTTCAATTTCCTATATAAACCCCACACCTCCAACACAACTCCACAACTAACAAACGCAAAACACTACAAAGAAAATAAAATGGGTTACGTTGTAATAATATTGCTTCTCATTCTGCTCCTCATCGGCTACAAGTGGCTGTTCTCTTCCAAAACGCACCGTCTCCAACTGCCGCCGGGTCCACTGGCGTTGCCCATCGTCGGCCACCTGAATCTCCTCAAACCGCCGATCCACCGCCTCTTCCTCCGGCTCTCCGAAACGCACGGACCCATCTTCTCCCTCCGGTTCGGGTCCCGCCGAGTCGTGGTGGTCTCGTCCTTGTCGCTTGCCAGGGAATGCTTCACTGGCCAGAACGACATCGTTTTGTCGAATCGTCCACGTTTTCTCACCCCAAAGTACGTAGCCTACAACTACACGACCGTCGGGACCTCCCCTTACGGCGACCACTGGCGGAACCTCCGCCGCATCTGCTCCCTCGAGATCCTCTCCACTCACCGCCTCACTAACTTCCTCCCGATCCGTAAGGACGAAATCCGGCGGATGCTCACGAGACTCGCACGTGACAACAACAACAGCGGAGTGGATTTTCGGCACGTGGAGATTGAGCCTCTCTTGTCGGACTTAACGTTCAACAACATCGTGAGAATGGTGACCGGAAAACGATACTATGGGGACGAGGTCCACAACGAGGAAGAGGCCAACTTGTTCAAAAATCTCGTGACCCTTATCAACGATAACAGCGGGGCTAGCCATCCGGGTGATTATTTGCCTGTCTTGAAAGTCTTCGGACACAAGTACGAGAAGAAAGTTAAGGCTCTTGGTGAAGCCATGGACGAGTTCTTGCAGGGTTTGCTCGATGAATGTCGGAGAGACAGAGATGGAAACACTATGGTCAACCACTTGCTGTCTTTGCAAGAACATGAGCCCGAATACTACACAGACGTGACCATCAAAGGCCTCATGCTCGTAAGTCAATACGCGTACTGTACGAACTTCATTTTGGATCCGTACGAATCAATCCTTTCTTTACTTGCATACAGGGCATGATGATAGCCGGGACCGACACCTCTGCCGTTACGCTGGAATGGGCAATGGCCAACTTGCTGAACCACCCTCAAGTCCTAGAAAAGGCAAAAGCCGAGATAGATGGAAAGGTTGGTCAAGACCGTTTGATCGACGAACCAGACATTGCTGACCTGCCGTACCTCCAAAACGTCGTGTCCGAGACATTCCGGTTATACCCGGCGGCCCCGCTCTTGGTCCCTCGCTCGCCCACAGAGGACATAACGATAGGAGGGTACCACGTGCCACGTGACACGATCGTGCTGGTGAACGCGTGGGCCATCCACAGGGATAAGGAGCTGTGGGCTGAGCCAGAAAGGTTTAAACCGGAACGGTTTGATAACCGAGCCGGGTGTGAACCGGACGTTCACAAGCTGATGCCTTTCGGGAACGGACGAAGGGCTTGTCCCGGGGCTGGTTTGGGCCAGAGGATTGTGACATTGGTTTTAGGGTCGTTGATTCAGTGTTTTGACTGGAAGAATGTCAACGGAGAAAGGATCGATATGACGGAGACGCCAGGAATGGCAATGCGGAAGATGGTGCCTTTACGAGCCACGTGCCGAGCTCGACCCATCATGCATAAGCTTTTGGCTCCATGAATATTGGATTCATGCTATACTCTTCGAACGTATTCTGGATTTTATGCTCTCATATGATCCCTTCGAATTCCAAATTTTAAAATAAACTCTGTATTTTAAATAAGTTTGAGTTTTATAAACAAGTCGTTTAATTATCGACGGATCCAATGATATATGGTTGGAAGCTATCATTGATGCAAAGGGAAAATATACAAATTAATACCATATTTTTCAAACGCCAAAAGAAAAAATTATAGGAGATGTGAGGAATTTAGAAACAAATTATATAACAAATAAATTAAAGACTACGAATTCGGATTATTTTTTATTTCCATTTTGATTGAACAAATTGAAACAAAAAACAATACAAAGAACGAAATATCTTATGGGCTTAAAATTAGTTAAAATACATGTAATTGATCAAAAGGATTGGAACATTGAAAAATAATAGAAACAAAGTTTTATATATAAAATACAGTATGGAATATATATTTAATTATTATTTTTTGGTAAAATATATTTAATTATTATTACCTTCTACTTTAATAGAAGAAATAAAAAAAGGATACTAACACGCCAAAAAAAAATGTTATTCGGCACACTAATACTGCTATCACTAATCACGGCACTATTGCAATCGCGAAAATGTTGCATGTCATTACCAACTGTAAAGCAATTTCAACGCTAATACACAATAATCTTTTCAATAAAAATTGGTAATCAATCAAAATTAAAATGAATTTTAAAAATTACATATTTATTTTAAAAAATTGTTCTAAACAATTACGTGGTTCCATCGATGCGGCCATCGCCATTGTCTCCTCGGCTGCATGAATTCTCTCAGTTCGACGATCCAAACATTGAAACCCAAAACTCGTATTTCGCTCGAAGATCATCGATCTACACGGTCTGGGTCGCGATCTACGCGTCTTATTCCAATAATCGCGTCACTTGATCTTGGCATATAGTTTTTATATTATTTAAAACTAGTAAATACTGTAATTGAGAAAAAAAAGGAATAAGAGTATGTGTATATATACATATATGTATGTAGGTGCGTATATATATTTATATATGCATGTCATGTGTATATATGTATATGCATATGTATTTATGTGTATATATTGTTTATAATATATGATGATATTTTCATTTTTTTTATCAAAGAAAAAACTGCAATTAGATTTCTAATTGTTGTAGATGATTGCAAATGGGTTGTGATCCTATCAAATGCTGCATTTAAAGGGTTTTTTAGGATGCAATTGCCGAGGCCCATATATAATAAATGTGCACATATAATTTTATTTGGTTGGGTTGGTAATGTGTGTATTTATGAACCCGCGTCCAAAAAGAAAGGTATCATTAATTTTATCATATGTATAACAAAAACCAAAATACAGAAATTGCAAAACGCAAATTATACCTTTTTTTATTTAAACTTTAGTAGAATTCGAAAAAGGCCCAAAGGGTCCATAGGTACTATGGAGTGTGCATTGGATTGGTTGAAGACATTAATTTCATAATAATTAAATAAAATTATTGTATAGGTTGCTCGTCAAGTGGATATTATGATATTAATACACAGATATCTATGACAATAATTAAACGGGGGCCTTATTGATAAATAAATTATTCGTTTTATATTAGCATTTCCCGATCTATAATGTAGTATTTGTTTTGTGGTATATACATATAATACCTAAAAGACAATTTAAAACGAAATCTTTTACATTATATGCATAATAAATATCTTTCATTGTACGTAGTTTCTAATTTTTTTTATGTTAATATATATAACTCTAAACCGAAGTGGAAATATAGTAATATCTGAAATTTATATAAACTAAAACTCTTCTTAGTTTCAAATGGTTACTAAATTTTAGACAATATTTTTCAAAATAATTGTTAGATTTAATAATAATTTATTTAATTTATGGCATTTCTAATTTTTAGAAGTAGGTATCTCTTCATTTTCAAATAAAAGTAAGATGGATATCCACCGTTAAAAAAGACACAGTCGTTGGATGATATTTTAATACACTTTTTCTAGAAGTCACACACCCATATATATATATATATATATATATAT